TTGTAAATAATCCATGTAATAATTTACTATATCTAACAAATTTAGGATCGTCGGCGTGATCGTCTATAACGATTAATATTGAATGTAGTTTCTTTATCTTTTTAGATTTCATATAATTAATTATTTTCTTCTGTCTTTCAATTACATTTTCTAAATCACTTGGATTATAATTATCAAAATAAATTTGTTCTTTTTCATCATCCACGTGCAATTCATCCCTGATATATTTTTTAACTTCTGTAAAGGTTGGGTCATTATGAACGCTGGGGGAAAATATAAATATTCTTGCAAATGAATTTCTATAAACATTTAAGATAAGGTTCTGAACCAAGACCGTTTTGCCGCCTGTCGAAGAAGCAACTATAATACTTCTAAATGGTAATTTTGGCACGTGCTCATATTTAGATTGTTTGAATTCATATTCAGTTATGTTTATTGGCTTTATTATTGGAACATCTGACATAATAAAATAATATTAAAGTTATTTAGAAAATATTTTATATTTATTATTTTATATGAATAGAAGCTATTCAGATTATATTGATATAATAGATGAAGTAGAGAATTTAGAACAAGTTGTTATAACTGATAATAGATGCAAGAAAATATGCTATTTTGTTTTAGAAATAATTAAGTTTATGATACAATATATCAAAAATAAAAATGTAAATATTAATATAAATGGGAAGAAAGAAAAAGAATAAGACTGAACCAGTTGTTTCTTCAACTGATGAAGAAAAAGAAGAAGTTGTTAAAGAGACATCAGTTATTGAGTTTGCTTGTCCAATGTGTAAAAAAATCTTAGAAATGAAAAATGAATTAGAAATACAAAAGAAAGGAAACTGTAAATGTTCGTGTATTCCAGCCAGTTTCAAAATAAGTAGAAATGATAAGAAAATGAATATTGATAAAACTAAAGACAGTATCAACTTAGAAACAGATGTTCATAATATTGCTATCAAATGGGGGAGACATGCATCGCCATCCGATAATGGCGATAAGGAAACTCAGGAAACTGTTAAACAAATGATGAAAAATTAGTATTTAAAGAGTAGGTTTAACATAATTTAAACATTTAGTTTTAAAAGTTTTATTTTATAATATAATATATATATTTACATGGATGAAGGATTAGAAAAGATGGTTAAAAAACTGAACAAGGTTTTAGAACAGAATAAGAATATTTTAGAAATCTTACAAGAAATGGAAAAGAAGAAACCGTTAACAAACAGTTATCAAAGTAAAGAAGTAGATCGAACCAATGGTGAATATAAAAATAAAAGAAATATTTATTTAAACAAACTTAATAACAAAGAAATTAAAGAACCGAAGGCTTCAACTATGACATTTTATCAAATCGACTATGATGAAGATACAGGGGTTTATTCTTGATTGAAAACATTTTCTCTGAAAATCCGTTTAAAGACATATTGGCATAACTAATATTATGAGTTCTACAGATGATGAAGAAGAAACAGGATGCACAATGGTTTATCCTTGCAGTAAATGCGACGAAGCAAAGCCAAGAAAGGACTTTCACAAAATGTATGATAGAATTAAAATGGAAGAGATATTTTACAAAACATGTAAGGAATGCAGAGACAAAGTAAAAGCAACAAAAGAGTTAAGGAAGGAACAGAAGAAACGAATACAACCCCTGGAAATACATAGGTTAAAGCCTTTGATACCATAGTTTTGCTATAATTACAACATGTAAAATCTTATATGTTGTAATTATAGTGGTAAAAATATTTCTATAAATTATAATTTCTCTGAAAATGTATTTAAAGAAATATTACCTATATACGTTAGCATCAGAATGGTAGTATTTACTGAGATTGAACAAGAGGAAATTATGAATGAATTCTTAAATAAGATCTATACAAATGACATGCTAAACATATTTGATAAACGTGTTGCTGACTGCTATTGTAAGTTAAATGACGAGAAAGTTGAGTTAAGTAAGTTAAACTTGTCAAGTAATATCATCAATAACATATGTAAATTTAACTATGAAGAATGCAAGGGGTGCGGGTCAGCGAGAAGGAGAAAAATGGCAGTTAAAAACCCCGAAAGAGGAACAGCCATAAATGAATATATTTACTTATTCTCTCGCTGTCATAGTTTTCCTGACAAACAAGACTTGAGAGAAGAATTCAAGTTCTCGTTTGACAAGATAAGCATATTAAGAAACATATATAGAGGCATTCACAATAACGATGTTAACAGAATAGCTTATTGTTGCGAAGGAACAAAATTTAATTACAAAAATATGATCAGAGACTTTAATAAAGTTGTTAAATACATCTACGACAATGAATATTGTAGAAGGTGTATTGCACATAACACTAAATTTGCAGAATGTCCAGAATTTAAATTACCTGAATACAGAGATGATGATGATTAAAGCCATAGTATAATTATAACATATAAATGTTTACATGTTATAATTATAGTGTAATTTTCCTGTATAAGCCGTGGGGGTGCTTTCCTACATAGGCCTTTCCCATCCGCATTTTGCCATCCATATTTTACTGGGTTTGTTTTCAAGATTTGGGTTAACGGTTTTAATTCTCCCTTTTCCATTGGTTAACCACTTTTCGGGGAGTGATAATTTGTTGAAAATAGGGTTGTAGCCATCTAAAGGCAAGGTGTCCTACTATAGTATGGAGAAAAAACTGTGTTCAAGATGTAGATACGAGAAAGGTGAAGATAGTTTCGTGTATGGACTCAAAAATTGCGATAAATGCATTGATCAAAAACGGGACTATAGGACACGAACTGTAGACAAGAGGAAAGAATACCGGAAACAGTATCTAGAAGCAAATCGCGAGGAAATTAATCAGAAGCGTAGAGAGAAAACAGCGAATAATGGATATTTGTATTGTCATATTTGTGAAAGAAGAGTGAACCCAGACATCTGGGACTTCCATTTGGTTGGAGGTTGTCATCAAGATAATATACTCAAACACTTGAAAGCAGATTATGAACGATTAGTTGAAGAAGCACCTACACAAGAATTCAAGGACAAATATTATCAAGAAGGTCAAGAGAGGATACAAGAACTCAAAATGACAATGCCTTTGTATAATCCAGCTTTGAGAAGAAAGAAAGTTGATCAGGCTGATGGTGATAAATTGGACTAAAAAATGAAGTTAATCATTAGAAAAATAATGTTCTAATGATTAACTTAGAGGGTTGTTCAATTTGGTGGTTTTGAATGGTGTAATTTGATAGGTGTATTTAAAAAGTGCTCAAAAGCGTAGGGGGGGGTATGGGAAAAAATGCCATCCGACGGACGGGAAAGCACTTGTCTAACTCCAAAGGGGACCCCCAATCAAAATCACCCAGGGGTTGATGAATTCTGCAAATCTCAGGAAAGTTCCCAAAAGCCGAATCAAGGATCGGATCGGAAAAAGGAGCTTTGTCATGGCTTTCGCTCGTTCTACCCCCGAATGGGTGAGCTCGCATCACGAAATAGGCAAGAACAAATATGCCTCAACAAATTCATGCAAATGTCTGTGAACATCTGCTGAGGTCCTCCAGATTTGAGAGGTTAGAATAAGTTGGTACCCAATTTCTTCCTGTAGTCTATTTTAGTAGGATCCCGAACCCTCCCAACCAAACAAGAACCGGTGAGAAAGGGCACCTAGCTGGGGGACCTAGTACCTGAAGGCTCGCGTTTTGGGCTCGCCGCTGTGTGGTGAAGGGCACCGAGGTGATGTCCGCCGTTGGGGAGAGCTCATCCTCAGTGGCCATGGGGGGGGGGTGGTTGAGTCTGAAGGGCCACCCTTTTTTGGGGTTGGGGAAGAAGATCGCCGCACTTCTTTGGTTGAGTGTGAAGTTTGAAGGGGACATGTTCCCAAAATAAAAGGGCAAAACAAAAATGAAAAAAGAAAACGAAAAGGGCGCCACTGGGCCGAGCATCCCCGTCATAGTTGATGCAAGTGCTGCCCTGCTCGCAGAAGGTGCCGCAGGTTGTCCAGCTGCCTGGCAAAAAGAACCGGGACCACCAACTGGCTTTCCATCGAGTGGGTTAGCCAAAAGAAATCCAAACTGCTTGTTTACAACTCAACTGGTCCAATACCAAAAAGCGAGTTCTTCGAAGTCCAGGAACTCGGGGAGTGAGTACGGGGGATGACGCGTGACCCAAATGGGTTGGAACTGTGCCATCTTTCACCCAACCATGCCGTGACCAGATATGCAATCATTCGGCCATGATCAGAAGAATAGAAGTTCTAGGCATTCAGCCATGACCTCTGACCTGATGTTGCTTCACAGGGATCCTTACCTTGTACACCTGAACATTGCCTTGTCAATGGTGGTTTCCCCTTATTTTGGTCTTGAAAAAGCAACCTGTTTCAAATGGTGGCAAGATGAATTTCTTTTGAGGAGCCCTGCAAATGTTTCGGGGGAACCCGGGGCTCCCAAACACAAAGGGAAGGATTTAGGGCGCCACCGAGTGCCTCTCGGCCACAAAAAGCGCTTCTAGCTCTTCTCGGGAAGCCAACCCTACCCAGGAAAGCTTCCTGGAACCTTCTTCTAAGCCTTACCAGCCATCACACGGCGTCTTTAGCAGAGCTCCACTCACCTTTCCCGGTTCAGTGGGTCAAACATGGGGTAACCCCCCAAAAATGGGTTCCCTGGCACATGGCACCAAGGACTTCGCCACTTCGCCCCGGTCCATCTCCCGGTCTCAGTTGCCCACTTTGGACCGCGAAATAGAAAGCTGATCCCCTTCTTGGACCTTTACTAAACATGGGAACCCAACATGGGAAAGCCAAAACTTGGTTGCTGCAACGACCCCCCTGCAAAAAGTGGACCACTTCTTATGGGGCTCTAGTGGAAACCGTGGAAACCCCCTTTCCCCCCAAAAAAAAGTTAAAGTCTAAAGATCCGTTGCCCAGTCCGGTAGTCAAGAAAAGGTCGTTTCAGGTCGACTCGCTTAGGCCTTCCCCGCCCCAAGCCCCAGCCCCAAGCCGCTCTCTCCGGGGCTTCGCGCCGGAGACCCCCGCGGGGATGACCATGGAGCTGGCGCCGTTCCTGGCGCCAGAAGGGGGGGACAACAACCCCCCCCCCCAAAAAAAAGAAGAAGGGGGGGACAAGGCTGCCACTGAACAACCATTTTCAGCGGGGCAGCCACCCCCAAAAAAATGGTGCAAGACCATTTTTAGTGGCCCCCCCCCAAGAAAAAAACATGGGGAACAAGAATTGGTGCCACTGAACTGAGGTGCAGGTCGATGGCGTTCCGGATCTTCACCCCGCGCGTGTAGGTGTTCCCCGCGCAGCTGTAGCTCACAGTCTGCTCCGTGGGGGACTCGGATTGGCCGAGGGAGGCGCGGAGGTGCAGACAAAAAGAAGAGAAGGAAGACGTGGAAAGACGCAAAGACGGGCAAAAAGTGGGGGAAAAACAAGAAGAAAGACGTGGAGAGACGGGCAACAATCATTGCATTTACGAGCCTTCTACCAACGGCTGCGCACAATGCAAGTGCAAGCCTACACACCTGTCCAGTAGTGAAATCGTTCTGCATGTTTTGCTATAACTCCAGAAGCTGAGTTAAGAATTGGATCCCCAAGTAAAGGACCTTTATATACCTTTACCATGGCTTGAGCTTGAGGAGGGGAAAAAAAAACAACGAATCGGTGAGCCGGCTATAAAATAGGCAGATCGATGCCCTGTAAAAGACCAGCAGGAGAAATCTAAGACATGCCCTTATGATTTGAAACATGTTGAAGAGGCGATGGTATGGAGTAGCGTGATGCTACTTGGACAGTATAAGACCTGGTCGAGCCATCAAAGTTGGGGCGGTTCACATCCCCCAAGGTACCACCGGTACTGCTCACGCCGTGCCGTGGAGACCACAACAAGACCGGCTAAAACAAGATACGTCATGGCTCTACCACCCAAATAGCCAAACGCGAGTCCTGGACCCGGCGGCGCCTCTGTGCGTGCTTGGCCCTTCCCTGTCAAAAGTTTCACTAGGTCCTCCAGTAGAGAGGTTAGAATAAGTTGGTACCGTTTCTTTTTTCTGTCTATTTTGGTAGGGGAGCCCTCCCCCAAAAAAGGGTAAAAGGGCTGGGGGACCTAGTTCTTTTTTAGTTTGGCAAACGGAAACCCCTAAACCCGAAAAAGCTCAAAAGCTAAGTGGGGGGGTGGGAGCCACCAAGAAACCTCATGCTGTGGATGGACGATTCCATGAACGGTAGTGCGAGAAGCGGATGTCCCAGTATGAGTATGAAAATAGAGAAGCCCCCGACATGCCGGAGCTCCCCTTTGGGTTTCCATTCAGACCAAGAAAAGGACACCCCAAAAAAAACAAAACCCTTGAGTGACTCGCGTGACTGTCCGCTTTCTTGACCTTTCAGCCATTGAAAATGGAGGCGCCATGGCTGAAATGGTCGACGGGCTCACCGTGATGGTCGCACTGGTGCCTCGGCTCTTGCAAGGATTCCGATGGGCACTGCCTTGCTACTTCCGATGTGCCTGGGACTAGTGGCTTTTGACTACAACAGAATTACAAGAAGTAAAACTTTGGGGGGGGGGTCGCCATTCAGAGGTAAAAAACCGGTAAAACGGTTCACAAAGTGGGAGCCGCCCCCTCCAAAAAATGAGTCCTTCTCGATCGCGAGGGATGTCTCCCCAAAGACCCTCAGAGCCATGACCAAAACATTCAAAGAGCACTTCCTGGCATTGGCCCCACTTAAAGGGAAGCCTCTGGTGCTGTTGACAGGGTTCTCCTCTCAGGCTCAAAGCTTCGTAACAGGTAATGTCTCGCTGGGCCAACGGCGAAAAAGCGATGCAAAAGTAAGGGCCTCCTTGGGATGAATGAGACCTGCCAATTGTTGCCAAAGGCAAACCGTGGGCGGCGACCCCTTTGACCACAAAACGCCGAAGCCCTCAACGAACACCCCACCCTCTGTGTGGATTTTGCCCCACCCTTTGACTCTTCGGCAAGCACAACAAATCGTCAATCCCTAGGTTGGGATGAGCCACAGTCAGTTGAAACAAAGTTTGTTGGAAAACAATTTATTTATCATGGAAACCAGTTGAAGGAATGTTCACGCAAACGTCCAAAGGCCCACACAAAAAAGGAATTCCAGTAGGGTTTGCCTGGCAAATGGCTTCTACAACCCACCTAAACCCCAGTCCAAACCAACCCGAAAAGGACACCTACCTTGTCATAAGCAGCGCGCGGAACCCATCTAGATCCATCCAAACCCATCTAAGCCCAACTAAACCAAGTGGAACCGATCCTACCACGTCCTTACAGACCCCCTGGTAGCTCCGAGCACGGCTCCCTGCTTGGAATCCATCTAAACTCCGTGGGCCCCGTCCGGCCATGGGTCAAAAATCCCGTACCCCCAGTGAACATCCGATTCAATCCCCACTAAAAAGGGTTCTAAAATGGGTGGTGAATTCACCTACCCCCACCCCGCAAGGTTGGCAGGGGCCTCTTCAAATGAACCCAAGAAGAGGTTGAAAACGGGTTGAACGGGTGCTTCCGAACGGGCCTGAGCAGTGCAAAATGGTACCGTTGGTTGTGACCCACGGCCACTCAGTTGCCCAAATTGGACCCAGAACTAAAAGGTGATCACCTTTTGGCACCTCTACGAAAAATGGGATCCCAAAATGGGAAAACCAAAAGGTCAAAAGGTCGATTCGCTTTGGACAACTGAGGCCGTCCATTTCCAGTCGCCAGCTCCCCTTTCGAGGCGCCGGTGGCGTCGATGCAGTCCGCCGTGACGTCGGTGCGGCAGGCCACCGAGGATGGGGCCGCCACGTAGCCGCACATGCAGTGGGAGTCCGTGCTGGAGCCTCAGGCGCCAGCTTTCGAGGAACTGATTTGGGTGAGGGTAAAGAGGGGGAAAGGGTTGAAACAAGTAGGAAGGAAGTGGGAAAATAGGAGTTGAGGAGGGAAGAAGGAGGAAAGAATGAAAAAATAGGTAGGAAAGAAGTAGGAAATAGAGAGGAAACAAGTAGGAAAGAAGTGGGAAAGTAGGAAACGGCAGCCAACCCAAAGAGCCTCTTGTAGAGGAAAGTAGTCCTCCAGGACCCCTAGGCATGGCAAAGATGGGAGAGTGGCCCCGGGGAAGCCCCGGGGCTCGAAGACTCCGTCCAGTGCTGGCAAAGGAGGATCTGCCCCATGACGAATTCTTAACCGGCTAATACTTAGGATGGGTGGGGTGCCGTCAGACTAAATGAAGTCACGACCATGGGAAAGGTTGGAGTTCATCACTTCAAAGCGGCTATCCTCAGAGTCTAGGCTTGTCTAGGTCCGCCAGTAGAGAGGTTGGACTAAGGGTACCCAACTTTTGTCTGTACTCTATTTTGCTAGGTGCTTGCCCTCCCCCAAAAAAGAATCGGTGAAAGGGCACTACCGAAAGACCTAGATGCTCCAACCTCGAAAAGTGACGAAAGCTCCAAAACGGACTCAGGGACTCAGGGAGCGAGCATCACGACCATCGGTCCCAAAGCCAAGTTTTTGACATGAGTCTGCTCGGGCCATGCTCGGGGAAGACCTCATGCGGAAAACTCGAAACCCAAGGGGGAACATGGGGGGCTTGGAAGGAAGTGAGGTGGGATGGACCAAAAGTTGGTGCCTGAAACAAAGGAGGCTCTTTGAACATCAGCGCCCCGAAGTTCTTCAGGTCCAAGCGTCTCGGGACCCTTAGGGAGCGACCCTGCAAGATTCCAACCTGGATTAAAAAAGACACCCCTCCCAAAAACGGCGTCAAATTCGTTCGTTGCTTGGATTCAAAGGGGAACCCCCCCAAAAAAAAACAAGTTTGGACAATAAGCTTGGAAGTTTGGACCTGGACACCCCTCCAAACAAGCCACTCCAAACAAACCCTGAGAAAACAACAAAACAATGCAGTGTGTTGTGTTGTTTTTTTGTCAAGAACACCTCCACAAAATCACAGCGATGTGTTTCATCTTGTCTGTTGGCTCCGAATTTTTCGGAGGGGGTCCTCTTTGAGGACCCCAAACAAGCCCCCTGACGCCTCAACTCCCCCCCGCCCTCATTGGGGCTCCCGGGCTGGTGCTGCTGCACACGATCAAGGCCGCCCGGGCGGCCGCCACGCTCTCGAAGGTCTGGGCCACAATCCGCCTCGAAAACATCTAGGACAAATCGCTCAGCTCAGCTTTATCTCTAGGCTCACTTGCTGAGTGGATGGCCCAACAACAAGTTCGAACTTTAAACTTGCCACAGAAATGGCCGTCCCAAAAAGCATAAAGTTCATGAACTGAGGAAGTGCGTAGGTGGTTTGGAGCATGGTGGCTGGTTTCGTGGTATTGTTGTGGTCTTGGAAACACAAAAAATAGCTCACTTACTGAGTGGATTGGTCGGAAAAAAGTAACCAAACTGTTTGTTTTCCACTAGTCGACCGAGAAAGCTCGAAGTCCATGACCTCAGGAAGTGACTATGCAAAGACTCAGCTTTCCAGGTGGATTGGAGCGCGGTGGTTGTGTTCCGGGCTGGTTTCTTCATGTTTCCTCTACAGAAGCCAGGGGGTCAAATCCAAATCCAAACCACCAACCCCCTGGAAAAAAGATGTGGATGGCTGGGTGAATGCCCCGCAAAATGATGGCTTTCCTTTTGGCTCCCCTGCAAACCAACCCACAAAGGGGGTACTCCCACAAAAAGACACCCCCACATGTCCACCACCTAAGAAACCAGCCACCCCTGCAAATTCTCCATGGAGCTCCCTCTTTGGGCTCCAGGTTGTATGTCTGTAGTGGTAGGCTCCCTGAAAAACAGTGGAGACAAATAAATAAACAAACAAATAAATAACTATTTCATCAAGTAAACAACTGCAAAAAGGGAACCCAAAACCGCCCCTTTCAAAATATTGCAGAGGGAAACCCACATGGAACCTGTCAGTTCTTTGTTCTCCGTCGCTCTCTCTCGCTCTCTCTCGCTCTCTCTCTTTAGTGCTATCCTGCAGGTCCCAAATTAGGAGCACTCCCTCCCCAGGACACTCTGACCATGCCGGAGCAAAAAAGGCCAACCGAGTCGTCGGGGGCGTCCGTTTTGTTTGGTAAACCAGTTTTGGGTACCCCATGCCAGCCGATGTGTCCGGTCGCTGTGTTTTTTCTGCATTTGGCGTCGAAGGCCACTTATTCAACTTTCACGGAAAATGGGGGGGTGGGGGGGGAGGGTCTTTTTGGTTGAGGATGCCTTTGGCTGATCGCTTCAGAGGGAAACCACAAGGAAAACCATCATCTTGGGCGGGGGGAGGGGTCTCCTAAACAAATACAAAGCCATATGCGGCTCAGGACAGTCCAACGGCCGGCAGGCTAAGCCAAAAAACAAGCTCCATGCCAAAGCGCCAGTATCGGGCATCCACCGTGGCCGGCAACATGTTCTCCACGTCTGTGTCTCCTGATTCCCCCCCGGTGGCAAGAAGTATGGCTTCTTTGGCTCCATCACAAAGGTCGGTGACACTACCCAAAAAAGGACTCCACGTCTTAACGATCAGAGGTCAACACAACTTATCCAATCGTGGAACTGGACGGGCTTCCTCAAAAGGAAGTAGTCTTCCCAAACCATCCTGTCAAGCTTCCATGATCCCAAAAAAGCCAAACAAATCCAACCCATTCTTTTGCCATGGAGGGAAACCACTCCCAGTGTCTGACAATGATACCCCCCTGAAACAGTCCAAAACATGACCCCAGCAACAGGCCGCCGAGTCGCTGTCCACATTTGCCGTGTAAGTGCCCGACACGTCCGTCCAGCTGGACCCATCTGTGGAGTGTTGCACTGTGTACCTCCCAAAAAAAATAATTGGCGCGTGTCTCTCAAGTGCGGGATCGCTTTATGGGGAGTTTGAAGGGGGAGGCAAGGGAAAGCCGCATGTGTCTTGTGTTCTAATTTTGCGGTGAGGGGGGGAGTCATTGCTCCAAGAAACCGAGGGCCAAAAAGACAATAAACAAAATCATCGTTTGGAGAGGTCTCTTTTGCAACACAAAACAGCATCCAAAAAGAACAAAGAACAACGAAAAGGGTCCCTTATTTTGGAAGCAAAGGCCCAAAAGACAAAAACAAATGCCGAGAACAGCCAAGGTACGTCTTGATCCACGCCTCTTCGCTGGAGTGACCTTTGGTGACCACGCCTCGCGAGACTCGTTTACGTGCTAACTAAGCTGAATTCGAACCCCTGGTTCTTGTAGAGGGTACATGGGAATCCACCCCTTAACCACCACCAAACCACTGGGCTCCAAACAACCAACTACGGGGAATCTGGTTTTACTTGCTGGTTCTTGGCAATGAGGAAACCCCCGATACCTTTTAGGGGACCAAAGCCTGGGTTCATTCCCACATTCTCTACCCATCACACCAGCAAGCAAAGGAAACCACCCGTGGTCGGCGACCCATAAGCTTTGATCGATCCCATTTCAATGATTCGAACATATTCGAATTCTTGGGGGTGTGTCTTTCTTTGAGGGTACCCATTTGTTCCGCCCATCGACCATCGACCCCCCGTTGGCTGGAATTAGGACCCCAGCAAAGAACGGTTTGAGTTTTTTTTTGGCCTGGCGGGTGGAAAACAAAGGCGACCCTCAAACAGCCAAAAATCCAAAAAAAGGGGAACTCTAATTCCAAGCAAGCCATCTCGCGCTCGCTCGACCCCCCCTCCAACAAAAAACAACAACGCTGGCTCGCCCCCACCACCCCCCATCGACCCCCAAAACCCCTCATCGACCCCCCCCCTGATGGCTGGCGCCTGCCACCTTCTCGCTGGCGCCGAGGTCGATCTGCAAGTACACCCCCGCCGTGGCCGTGGACTCGGCCTTCCAGCCTGCCGGTTCAGTCTCTCTCGTCTTTTCAGGCGGGGGCGGACCCCGGAGAAGGGCGAGGGGGGGGGGGGTACGACAGAAAGGCCTTTTCGGGGATGTTCCCTCGGTCGGGGGCAGGGGGTTCTGCACAAGGGAGAGGGGGGGTACAACAAATAGGGCCCCCTAAGAAAAAAAACAAACAAAACGAAACAAACATATTATAGTATGGGGGGGTCCAACCAAAACTGGTATGAGCAACCTCCAAATTGATGTGGGGGAGGCTCAGAGAACCTTGGACAACCCCCCCCCAACTCCAATCGTTCGAGTGCTATGGAGCTATGACTCGAATTTCAGGGGACCCAAGTTCCATTTACAAGGTGGGGTCTCGGTGCACCAAGCAATGACAACTGCCAGCTCATTGCGGATGAGCAAACTGGAAATGCATGAAACCCTTTCTGGGACGTAGCGCAGGACTGTTTGTTCCTCCCACTTCACTGGCTCAGCCCAGCCAATCCCGCCAAACTTCCCATGCCCAAACCCCACGCCCGGTGTCGCCCAAACATCGCAAAAACCGCCTTCCCTCAGGCATCCGCCAGTTGAACCACCGCACGGAGTAATTTCCGCGCCTGTGCCGGTGAGCGTGCACTCCGTCACGCTGGAGTTGTCGCTGGACGCAGTGCAGGCGCTGCCGCCGGGATTCTTGTTGGTGGTGTCGCAGATCTCGCCTCAGTCGGCCGATGGCGGCCGAAGGGATGGGCTGACCAGCTGACCTGCCCGCAAGAGGACGAATCTGGGCTGTCCGTTTTCGGATCCCCCGCTAAAAGTGACTAACTTTTAGTGGCCACTAAACACTAAAAGGCTAAGGGGATGGATGGGAGCCACCAAGAAAGAACAATCTGGGGTGCCTTGCGGCTTCCCTGAAACACTAAGGCCATACCCCAAAAAGACCAAAACAACAACAAAAAGGCCTGCCCCTACCAGTGGCAACACATGTTTGGCCCATTTTTTTTTGAATGCCCCCCTTTTCTGGGGTCACTTCCATGGGAACCCCCCAAACAAGGCAACCAACTTTTGGAGACAAGCCCATTTTACGAAACTTGCATGCAACATGACGTCACTCGAAAGGCCTGAGACGAAGGCTCGAATGGGAATACACACTGAGTCCTTGCCGGTAATGACCGTGGTGTAACCAAGGGAAATCACCACTCTGCACTAACTGCAACAATTGGGCCGCGCAAAGTTGAGCAGTCCCATGACGGACCTTCCCGAGTTACTCCTGATTGGCGAGCTCTAGCCCCAAATTCACATAGAACTTGCAAACCGACAAGGAAGTCCCCCCAAAACCAAAGAGTGCTCCATGCAAACATTTTGTTTTGCTCCTTGCTCTATCTCTCTCTCTCTCTCTCTCTCTCTCTCTCTCTCCCCTACCAGCCGACAAAAACAACACTCCTTCACCCCTCTCCGGACTTGCCAAGCTTGAACTGAGTAAACAACTCCTTTGCCGCGAATGGCTTCCAGTACATCCAAAAACCGCCTTTCCAAGGATTTTTGTTTTTTTCCTGGTGATCTGATTGTTCACTGGCCATCCAAAAGCTCTTTTTTCTAGAAAAACGGTTTGGATGCGCTGTTTGTACCTTTTTTCCCACCCTGTATGTGCTTTTTAATAACTCTCTTAGTACTCTTTTCATATCCTGCAGAGGTGCATCCACAGATTCGCCACCTCCAACTTGTTTTCCAGATTCTAGATGCTTGGCCCCTGCTTGCGGAACCGGCCTCAACCGGCCTCAACCGGCCAAGCGGCAGGCGCCCTCGTTCCAGCGCAGCCGGCCGGCACGCAGCACGTGCGGGTCGGGGCCATACAAACCTCACCCGGCCCGGCCAAGCGCTGCGTCTGAATTCGTTGGTTCCCGGAAGATCGAACCAAGACAAACACAGCTCCCCTCGTTGCGTGGGTGTGTCTTTTTTCGGCAAAGACCCCGAAAAGATCGGAGCAGCAAACGCTGTGAAAAGGAGTCCCTTCTTGAGAAGTCTCGTCTTCCATGAGTCTTCGAAGGGAAGAGAACGTTCAAAACGCGCGTGTCCAGTTTTCCGTTGCTGCCAAACTTGCGGGCAACGAATGACTCTTGCCAGAGAACTTTGGGGCACCTTCCCTGGAACTCTTTTACCTCAGATTCCCGGAAGCTGACTACCTAACTTTGTGATGAAGCGAAACTTCTAAATACCTCAAAAATATACTAAAAAATCATCAACTCAAGCTATAAATCATTCATAGGGGTTTTGGGGTTTTGGGGGGGTTCAACTTCAAAAAGAAGCGTTATGGCTGCGATAGCCCTACAGTAACCGCAGCTCGCTGCTACATCATCAACCCCTTCTTCCCTTGGAACGGTGCGCACACCTCCGAGGCACCTGTCCAAAGAAGGCTTGAACGCCAAAACTCCGTCATGAGTTGGGCTGCTTAAACGAACAGATCCGACCAGGCCCCCTTCAGAGAGGTTGTGTCATTTTCGGGGTTGCAAACCACAAGGAACTCCGCCATGTGATGCCTGGTAGGAAGGGGGGCGGAGGTCCCCCGAAAAGAAGAGACACCCAAATAGTTGTTGAATATGTCAGAAACCAGGGGGTGGCCCGACCCTCCTCGGAATGCGCCTAACACACTTCCTCAAACAGGCCATCCTTGGGCCCAGAAAGTCGAACCCCAAGCTGACATGGACCTAATGTTAGCTGAACATACCATGGGTCAAAATCCAAATCGTACCCCCAGTGAACATCCGATTCAATCCCCACTAATAGGCGCTAAAATGGGTGCACCGAAAACCCCAAAATGAGATCCCAATACGGTTTTGACAAGCACCGCCATATGGCGCACGGGACTTGACCAAACCAATCCCCGGCCGCGGCGCGTATCGCATCCCGCACTGTCAGCGTCTTCGCCTCCGAAACGCTCGTGAGGGAGCAGCTGTATGTGACCTGGGCTCAATGCAAAGCGGGCCGACCAAAGAAAAGAAAACGCCGCCCAAAAAGATTCCAAAAACCGAAAATAAAACAAAACCAAAAATGAAAGCACCCGGCAGAGATCACGTGGGGTGTTGTCAAACATATGGACCCGTGCCGCCTTTGGGGGAACCAAAAAGGGCCCATGCTTTTGCAGAACCTTCACATGGAACCTCCATGTTTTCGGGGAGTCTCCTTTTGAAGAGCGCCTTTCCTCTTTTTGGGTTCCCCGCTCACCAGCAGAAACCAAAGCTGCCGAATGGGTGGAACCATCTTCAAAGTCACACTTTGGGGACAAATCGAACCACCACAGCCCAAAAGTCCAAAAAAAGAAAGCGGCCAAGGCACCGTGTAGGTTTTGGTCTCTACCCCGCCGGAGGTTCCAAAGAAGAGTCGGGTGCTCGCATCCCAAGTGATGGACTGGTGCATGTCGGCGATGTCGGCATCGAACGTGTCCTGGGTAAAACGCCATGACCACAGGTGTCCTTTTGGCTGAGGCTAAATGGATGGCCCTGGCAGATTAAACCACCAGGTCCACCAGGAATCGCCAAAAAGGACCAAAGAGGGCACCATGGCTTTGAAGGACATCAAACGGAGACCCACCCAAGCGATCGCTATCCCTGGCCGTTCTTGTTCGGTGCCAGGGTTCCCCATGGTCCCCCTTGTGGGAAACAAATGGATTCGGCTGAATGACCCAGCACCACATGAACACCCGAACACCCATGGCTCCGCAGTGTCTTGCCCAAACCCCAGGATTCCGCAAGTTGCCCCCTGGCTGTCAAAAATAAATACCGTCCTCCCTAAACCATCGGAAGAGACCGAGCCAATGCCACGTTGCCCTCCAAAGGCGCGGGAGAAACCAAGTCCCCAGACTTGCGCGGGCAAATTGAATGAATCCCCCTATGTCCCCAAATGGACCATGGACCGAACCTCATCTTCTCTCTACCGCGGCGCCGAGGTGTCGTAGCACTTGGACACCGTGTCCGTCCAGGATCCAGCCTCTCGCTGCACCGTCCAGTACCTAGCTGCGTGACTGCTAATGTTGACCCAGGATTAATAAACCCGTCCCACTATTAGGGGGGTGTTCCCTCCAAAAGTGGTCTGAATCCCCACTAAAAGGAATTGGACACCCCCCAATCAAAATCAACCAGGGGTTCTACTTAGATCCGGGGTTAACATTACCCAAGCAACCCCCCTCCAACCCCCCGTGGTTTGGTTCCCTGGTCTTGAAGGCTGTGGCTTGGTTCCCTGGTCTTCAAGGGAGCCACCATCCCTTGAAAACAAGACCGGGCGACGCCCGTTCTTCGCGTGTTTCTTGGGATTCCCCCGTTCTTTTCACAGAGCCCTGTCGTTTTTCCCGCGGCCATTCCGTGGATTCCTTCTCTTCAGATTCCTAAGCATAGAGGAATCCGCTCAATCCCAGCCTTCCATGTGCCTTGGGCATAACCGCCTTTGTGCCTTGACCATAGGAACCGACCGCCGAGGAGCAAGGCGGGATTGATGTACATGCTTTCCACCACGCCCACGGTGCGCGTCTTGGTCTCCTCAGATCCCCAGCCACGAGGCTCCACGAAATGGCACCTCCCGGAAAATTCGGTTCTAGAGCCCGGAAAATTCGGGATTCTGGAGGTAGCTTCCGGCTTCCAGGTCCATTCCTTCCAGGATCCTTCTTTCTGGAAAACCCAAAAGCCCTGGGGAAATGGCTGGTTGTTGAAAAGAACCATGGCTGAAAAGAATGTGAAATCAACTGTTAGAATGGTGTTTGATGCCTCGGGTTTCCACGTCGGCGCCGGCCGTCAAATGGAAACAAAGGCCATGACACGGTTCATCTAAACGGTGCCAGGTGCACTTCTGAATTCTACATCCAAAGTCAAGACCCTTTCAACTCACAGCCCAGGTTGAGAGGGAGGCTTAACACTGAACACCCTGGAGAAAGGTGCCAAATGATCCCGCAGAGTAACATTAAATGATTTCAAGCAAATGGGCTCTAATGTACACTCTTGTACATTACTTCATTACACACATAGGTCTGCTTTCGTGCAAGCTACAACCATATGGAATCCCCGGATACATGATTCAAGAGCCCAAATCAGGTCAACTCGTGTTGGTTGAAACTGAGCAGAAAGCAGCAGGTCGACATTTCACCAACAAGCAAAAACGGTATCTTCAGATTGGCATCATATTGAGGCGACATGGAAAATGTGTGGTTTTTTTAAACAAAAAAAGAAGAAATCTGAGAGCCTTGAAAAAAATGGATTACAAAAACAAACCTGAGCAGACCCACCAACCGAGCCCTTTTCGAAAGGCGACCGTGCGACCGTCAAAGAGCGTCTCACGTCCGAGCCGCGAAGACGTGACCTCCCTCGTGCTTGGTGCATTGGTAGGTCACGGTGTAGCTCCCCACAGTGGTACGATCCACCGTGCCGCTGGTGGTCACGGGCAGGGCCTCGCTGAACCTCGGCGAGGGAAAGCCGAGGAGAGGTCTCTCTGAAGATGGGCCAGGTGGGGATTGATCCATTTTCCCTTCGGCCCCCAGTTTTTTGACCATGGGCATTTGCTTTTCGGCACATCGAGTGCCCCATGAAAAGGACCCTTGGATCAACCCCCATGTGAAATAAGCACTTGGACCCCCAGAAAGGTGTCCTCATTGGCTTGCCTAAAGGACACCTGGCCCTTTTTTCTTCTAGTTTTGGAAGCGCCCAATGTTGCTGTGCAACGTCTGAGATCCCCGCAGCCCTGCGTTCAAACTAACATCACCCCACAAGGAACTCCCTGACAAACTAGCTGAACAATTGGCGCCAGAGAGGCGCGACGAAGCGTCAAGGTGTCTTTCTTCCGGGGGTTCTTTGTTTAGCGATCCGAGGATGACCAAAAGGAACCCTTCCCTATAAAAGGAGACATCTAAAATAGATTTAGAAAATATGTGGAGTCACATCTGAGACACGGTCAGAACATGCGACTCCAAATTGGCAGACCAGACATGTTTGGCCCAAGCCCATTTGGGCATGTTCCGGGGTCCCGGCTGATCCGCACACGCGGAGCCTGCATCCACCCAGGCGCTGGAACTCCTTGGGACGCTGGCTGGGCGTGGTTCGGCTTTGTTCGAGGCGCGGTGCCGCTTTTTTTGGTGCGTGTTCAAACCACTCATTTGGATTTGGTCGGAGGATTGTTCAAATAGGCGTTCGGAAAAGAAGCGTTTCACTAGGCCCAGAGTCCGTGCCCGAACACAAAATGCTCAGCGCCGCGAATGGCGCCGTGACCTTGCTTCTGGGCCTTTGTCAAATCCCCATTTCCAGTGCGCCCTGTGGCTGGCTTCTCTTGCTGCAACTGTGGTGACATCCCTACGCTCCCCACCCCACTCCCGCTTTACCACTCCTGCCTCCTGTTTTCCGAGCAGGGTTCCGATAGAATGATACATATCCATCCATTGGACATCTCTTTAGCGGTTAAACGAATGAAGCACCCAACCCACAGATTCATTCCCATTCATCTCTTTCATCTCTGTATCTTGGAATTCTGGAGTCACAGTGGTTAGACGAAAGAAATGAAAACACCCGCTTTACAAGATCAGGCTCAGCTGGTAATGGTTTCACTGGCCTGTCCTTTTGGGACCTTGAAAACCCAAGTGCAACAGCGAGGAGATGCGAACCGTACGCAGGAACCCACTTTTGGTGGGTGCGTTTTTGGAGTCGGCGCCGTCTTCGGGGTTGGGTTGCTTTGAGAAACCAAAGGCAACACAAACCACTAGGCTCAACCACTAGGTCCTCCAGTAGAGAGGCTAGAATAGGGGTACCAACTTTTGTCTGGTCTATTTTAGGGGAACCCTCCTCTCTCCCCCAAAAAAGTGCAAAAGGGCACCACTGGGGGACTTGGACCATGTTGAGGCCTCCAAATCCCCCCAAGAAAAAATGACGCATACCCAAACGCATACAAATCCCCCAGCTGTTTGACGCATCCCCAAACGCATTCCGCGACCCCACAGCGACGTTCACAGCTTTTTGAAGCTAAGCGGCACGGCCACGGTGGGGGTCTCCGTGCCCGTGAGCGTGAAGGTGCTCTTCTCCCGCTCCGTGCAGCACAAGGTCTCCGTGCCTGGGCTTAAAGAGACCGCGTCCCCTCCATTTGCTTTTGCCGAAGTTTGAAGGGCAAAATGAGAAAAGATGGCCAGTGACAGATTCCCTGAAAATACCACAAGTGGAAACATAGGCAGCCTTTTAGGTCGGAAATAGATGGGTTTCCCTGGTAGATGAGAGGAAAACCAGGTAAACCAGGAATCGCAATCTATTTCTCTAGCAAAAAACAACAAAAAGTGGACACCTATGGGACTTCCCGGAAGTCAACCAAAACATTTTTCCACCCCCCCCTCCCCGGGCCCTTGGGCAAATCTGGGGTCTTTTTGGTTGGCTTGTTGCTTTGGTAGACTTGTTGCAAACAAGGAACCGAAGAAACCAAGAAACATCTACCCCCCCCCCCCACCCACCCGGTGCCAAATCTGGAGTCTTTGCTCGAAAGAAAACACTCACTTGAGTAGATCGTTCAAAAACAAGTCCGAACTTTGTGTTCCCAGGTGGTCTTCCCGAAAAGCGGATTGAGCTATGGGGAAGTGAGAAAACGAATCAGATGAACTCCAATGCGCATGTGTCGAATCTCGAAACAGACAATTCGGACGGAACACTAAAAAAAGTAAGCGCAGTGGTATTCCCACGAGCCCATCCGCTTTCAGCTGGCTCCCTTTTTCTTCCCCCTTAACATGACCCCATTGCACCAAAAGCACACTCACCTTTCACAGGCCAAAAAAGAAAACGATGATGTTAAAACCGGACCAAGAAAGGGAAATAATCCGTGGATTGTGTGCAAAGTTACGCCAAAGGACGGCGCATAGAAAGGGAAATATCTCGGGAACCAGCGGAAAAGTGGCGAGAAGGTCGGCTTTCCGGCCAAGGCGCAACTGCGGAAGCAGTACTCCCGGCGCCGCGAGGTGTACCTTCGATCCATCGTACCGAGCGCCGGTCTCGAGAACTGTTCCATGGAACGAGACGAGAAAATCTGCCAAAACAGGATTTGTTCCAGTGGATGCCAGGCAAGCCACCATTGGCCGGGTACCCCCCACATGTTTTTCTTTTAGGTTTTAAAGGATGGTGCCCTTGGTTTTACCTTTCAGGGTCAATGGAATGACTGGGGATCCACAAAAACTCCGCGACTGTGCTTTTTGATGGTTCCGAGTGGGAGACCTTTGTTTGGGAACAAATGGGGCGCGAACTATACGTAGAATCTCATTGGGTAAGCAGGGAACAGGTCCAAAACCTAAACTACAGGATCCCAGCGGCCCTTCGCTTCACCATGTCAGCACAAACTCGGATGGAATGAATTCCCCCAGGCCACTCCCGAGGCGGAACAAATCCCCTTTGAGAGTTTTTACCTCAGCATACCACCAAACCAATGGGATTTCTTTACTGGGCTGTCCGTTTTCGGATCCCCCGCTAAAAGTTTAACTTGTGGTGGGATAAATTCGGAAATCCAACCACTCAGCACTGAAAGGCTAAGAAACTAAGGAACCGGATGGATGCGAGCCACCAAGTCTATTTAAAAAAGACCCCCGAAATTGCGGTTGTCCCTTTGGTTTCCCTTCAAGCAGTCGCCCCAAAAAAGAGATGAAATAGGTACCCAAAATGGCTTGCCCTGGTAAATGGCCACAATGACTACAACCTCTGGTCCCCTGGTGGCGTGATTTTGACACCCAGATCAAGCCTCCAAAAAGAGACAAAAACAACTGGATGGCGCGGCTCATGTCCTCTCAGTCGCTTTCACATGGATCTGGGTGCCTTGAGGGGACCCCAGCGCCCAGTTGTAGAGGAAACTGGAAAATTGCAAACAAAAAAAAAGAAGAGAAACATTGACCTCAACCAACCCCCTCCCCTCCCCTACAAAACCCTTTGAGTACTGCTTAAGAAACGCCCTCACATTTTCGTCCGCTCTAAGGGCCCACGGAACCCTCATACCAGCTGAATCCGAGCATCTTGGAATTCACCGTGCACACGGCGTCGGAGCAGGTAGGCCATGCCTCGTGCCGGGAGAACCGGCGCGGGTTGGGGCGCTAATTGAAAGGCGCCTATCAAAACACAACTGCGACGTTGGCACTAGCCCAAGATTCAACCTGTTTGCCAAGCGCCCGCTTCTTGAGCATCCTGGAATCCTGGGTGAGTGTTGCGAGTTGATTCACCCAAACACACCACCCCCAATCACACACCCTAAAACACGAAGAATGGATTCAACCAGGGGTGTTGAGAGGTCTGATTCTGGGGGTGAGATGTGTTGGGGGTCGCTTCAGTTTCATCTGCATCCTTAACAAAGATTCCAAAGCTTGAAGTAAGAAGCGGATCCCCCCAGCAAATGTCAAGGACATAAATCACGGATTCTTTCGCCCGGATGGAGCGCGTCATGATTCTGTGGCAGGTTCCTGACCCTTACGCCGCCTCCCACGCCGCCTCCCACGCCACCCGCCACCCGCCACCCAGGCCCCATGCCCCGCCTCGCAGCACTCCGCATCTGAGCAGCCGGTGGTGCTGCAGCTGCTGCGGCGGCGCTCGGAGGTGCGGCGGTAGGCCGCGCTGCAGGTGTAGCTCCTTGGGGGAAATGTCTCTTTCCCCCAGCTGGGTATTGGTCAACAAAGGAGCCAGTTAGTCCTTGGCTTCATTCATCAAGGTTCCATTTTGGATACCGATTTTTGACACATACATGGCCAATGCTTTTCCCCAACTGGTCATGGGTCAAAAGCCAAATCGTACCCCCAGTGAGCAATAGACTGAAATGGGTGGTGCACCTACCCCAAAAAGAAAACTAAAATCCATGGCACCATTTTGGGATAGGTGAGTGCACCACCCATTTAGTCTATTTTAGTGGGGATTGGGATGTTCACTAGGGGAAAACTTAAACGCCAGGCCCGTACCCCCAGTGAACATCCGATTCAACCCAACCACTAAAATAGGTTAATTCACCTACCCCAAAATGGGATCCCATTGGTTTTGACCCACGGCCAACTGGGGTGGTTGTGAGTTGTTGGTGAATGGGATGGAGTTGGTGGGGTTAAGGAGTTGGGCGTTGGAGAGGGCGGAGTTGGGTGGGTGATAATTGAATCTGGCCGAGTTTCAGGAACAAGCAACACGACGCACTGCGAATGACACGAAGTTGATGGTGGAGCTTGGAGCAAAAGAAAACAAGCGTGGGTTGTGGCAAAAACGGGCTGAAGGTCAGATTGAGTGGGGAACTGATGTGTTTTGGCTACTGCAAAGATAGACTTAAACCTAGGGGTGGTTGATCCCTAATCGGATAATCGTCTTGGTAGTCAAAAAGTGGGCCTTACCCTGGGCAGGGGGAGATTGCTTGCGCAAGAACCCCCTCTCCTGCACCAGCCACTGTAATTCAGCAAGTCCTCCGTACCAATGGCCTGACCAGAGGCCGGCCAGTCCGTGCCGGTGCCTTTTTTCTTTCGCACCCATATTTTTTGGGTTTAAAGGGAAGCACGCAACAACCAAAAAAAGGGACAACCACCACTTGCGCGGCACAACCTTCGGAAACATCTACGTGAACCGGAAACCTCGTTCTCCGTGCCCAAATGTGTTTTGCTCAAAATGCATGCTCTCCTTCCCATGCTTGGTTTCCCTTTGGACACCCAGCCCCCGGCTTCTTTAACTTCCCTTTGCTCACTTCCTGAGGTGAATGGCCAAAAAGAGTCCAAACTCAGGAAAAGCCACTAAAATGGTCTTTCCAAAGAGCTTCTCTCTCTCTCTCTCTCTGCCGTTGCGTCCAGAGGGTCTTGACTCCAAAGAGCTTAAAGTCCAGGAACTCCCGAAGTGAGTGCTTACAGCACGCCAACAAGCCCCCTTCAAGCCCACCACCTTTGAAGTCCCTCGACCTCTCCTCTCGACTCCTCGGACCGCGTGCCTTGGCGTAGATCTTGGCCTCCTTGATCTGCCCCGCCCAGGTGCCCTGACCCCTGCCCCCGCCGTACTCCACAGCCCCATCCGCCACGGTGTAGTCTGTGCACGTCGGGCTGGAGTAGGCCTCAGATAGGCACAAACGCCTCTCGGCGCACATCCCAAACCCACCCCTTGGGCATGAAATAGGGGAAACAACAAACAACGTCAGCACACATCCCAAACTCGCCCAACTTGAGTTTAGGCGTGATTCCGAGGGTGAAGAAAACCCTCTTACTGCCGATGGACAACAATTCTGCTTTGGTAGGTGGCAGTCGGTTGGTCCAAGTTTCACAGGGGTGCATCCATGCCGATTGGTGACTGGTGGATTGAGTCGATTCCCAGTGGAAAACCCGCCCCTTCCCACCTGGAAGGCAAGGCCAAGGGCGGCTGTGAGGGAAAAACGGGGGTGGGGGGTTGGGGGCTTTGGGGGTGGGAGGTGGGGGGTGGGGGGTTGGGGGGTTGGGGGGTGGGAGGTGGGAGGTGGGGGGTTGGGGGGTTGGGGGGTGAGAGGTGGGGAGTGGGGGGAATGGGGCAATGAGGGCCAGATGCGTGTATTGAGGCTGTTCCTCCGACGAAGACGAGTGCAAGCCCGCGATTTGAGCCTTCCCATTTTGAGACCAACCCATTCTTCCAACCCACAACAGCGGTCAACACCTTCCAAAAGAAGGGACCTCAGGGAAGGCCGGCATCCTCTCAGAAAAGTTTTCCGAGCAACCTGAGATTTCCAACCTTTCGGGCTCACCATATGTCTTGCTGCTGCGATGGGTAGGGAATGACCTTCCGGGTGTTGGGAATGAACCTCGGGATTCCCCGGAAGGAAAGCCCGAGGAAGATGCTCCAAAGCGGGGTCATTCCAACTCATCCCCTGCTGAGTTTTAAGCAAGGACCTTCGTAAGGCACTGGAGGCGTGACATCCGCAACCCCGCCTGGCCATTCAGATAGAACGATGAGGTCTTGCCCGAGGCGGAGTACACCACGGCCACGTGGTTCCTAGCCCCAAAGACGGATTTGCATGAGGGCTTAATAAGGGCTTATTTGGGCTCCCTACTCCTCCCCTCCCTCCCCCCAGCCCCCATGAGATTTGCATCTGGAGTCTACATTTACCGTTTACAACAACCAGGGGTTCAAATCCCTAAACCGCCAATCCGAACCGCCTATTCGGGTCTACCACCGATCAGTCGTGTTTGGGAGAGGAAAACGGTGGAACCCTAACAACTTCCTTTGCACGTAACACAACCAGCATGGCATACTCCAACCCAGGCATGGCACAAAAAGAACTCTCAACTATTGCTACAAGGGCTCAGGCGCGGTGCAAATTTTAAAGGCAACATGCTAAAGAAAAAACACAACACTGGTCTTTATCTGACATCTACCAGAACATTCTTGATGTGGAAAAGTTGATGCTTGGAATGGCCAAGTTGTACGCAACATGCGAAGCTTTACCGTGGGTTTGTGGTTGAGTATGGTCGGCTCACTTGCAATATTTAGGCATTTCCGTATTTTTCCAAGGGCCATATCCCTAGGATATACACCAATAGAAAAATATTCACATTCTACTGTATCCCATGTTGGTTCACATTTTGCCGATATTTCAACATGAAGCATAAATCTCGGAGACCCCAAAAACCTGGCGGTTTATTGTGAGGACTCCTAGCTCTACTGTGCGCTCCCTCAACGACTCAACGCGCCTTTTGCCGTCCGCCCGGCCGAGTTCACTTCCTGCCAAGTCGCCAGGCTGAGTTTGCGGTGGCTGTGCCCGTGCTGCAGCCGTTGCCCCCGTCCAGCTGCTGCTCAAACCTTGCGGCTTGGGGAGGTTTGGGAATGCAACTCCATCTGGGTGAAGAAAAAATACTTCACCAGCCTGAAATGAGGTGGTTTGGGGGCTATTCCCCCGCATAAACCGCCATTTGGGTGAATTCGGTCGTGTGAGGTCGTTATAATTCACCCAGATTCCATGGAGCTCCAAAGGGACCCCGAAACTTCCGAAATTCCGAGGACTTGGTTCCGTTGACATCAGCCGATTGGGGCAGCTTCCGGCTTTTTGCCTGAGTGAGTGTAACCGTTTGGCTGGCCGGTGGCTGAGACACGGCTCCAGCAACAAGGGCAGTCAAAACACAGGTGCCCTGCCAAAAAGTGCAAGCTTGCAAACATTTGCCTGTTGGCAACCCCCCCCCAAAAAAAAAAAAAAAACGAATCAAAAGGATCCGACCCACAAGTGGCCAAGAAGCTTCACCGTGTCCGTGGCAGTCTCCGTGAGGTAAAAGTTCAAGCCGCTGGTCTGCGTCTGCCCAAAGAGCGGATACCTTGGCGAAACTTTCAAGGACGGCCCATATGAAGGACTCAGCCACTTGGGTTGCGCCTTTTTTGGGGGGGAAGGGCGTTCCCCCCCCCTTTGTGTAAACCAAGTTGAGGGGTCCCTTTGCCCGCAAAAAAGTTGAACAAGCGCACTTGAATGTGTCTTGAAACTGGGGACTCTCCCACAAAACATGGTTTGCTCTGCAGGCTTTGAAACACCCGAAAATTTGGATTCCATTCAAAACCACTGCCCCCCACCCACCACCAGTGTCCATCGAGCTGCTGGCTATTGGCAGTGAGGCTGCCAGAATTCCAGTAGGTCATGAACGTGTAGTCCCCGCTGGCAAGGCCCAGGTCGTTCAAGTTGCCTTGGCTCAACTTCCCTCGTTGTTGGGCTGTTGGGTGGTTTGGAGCCGAATCGGTGGTTTGGGGAAAGAGGGGTTTTACATCAATTTACCCTCTACAAAAGCCAGGGTTCAAATGTTCAAATCTCCCAATTACCAATTCAAACCACCAACTAAGGGTAACCTGATTCGCGCCAATTGGAAAGGAAAACCTCACGGGAGAAAAAAGGACCGGGGTGCCTCTTGTCCCGTCCTCTGCCCATGGTGCTCTTGCTGCCCTTTCTGCTCTTGATCTTTTGCCTGAATTGCTCCTTTGCCTTTCGCAAGTCTCAAAGGAAAACCAAGCCCAACACAAGTTCAAATTGGAACCCATTGGCACATGCCCGGAATTCGCATGTCCTTCGCACCCGCACCCGGAACCGCCCAACAAAACCCCAAGCCAACTGAGCCCAAAACCCCCCCGGAACCCTGGCTCACCAAGGCTTTCAGCCGGGGTCTCTCCAAAAACGGGGGGAGGGGGGGCCACGCAGCTGCGGTGCCCATGGTGACTTTGGTGCTGGACAGCTCGGTATCAAACTGGTAGGACAGCTCTGGAGCCTCCTCGTAGACTTCCTGGGTTACACTGAGCTTCAAGATTGTAAATATCTTGCTCTTGGGGCCTGCGCCCTTCCAAACTGGTGGTTTCCCTTTTGGTGTTCCAATAAAAAATAAAATATTATATGAATTCATATAAAACATAGAAATTGTTATAATACTAGAAATTAATCCTAATCCCCCCCCCCAAAAAAAAAAAAACTGGAGTTGATCCTTTTGGTTTTGCCCCTACCAACCCCCCCCCAAAAAAAAAAGGAAGCTAACCCTCCAAAAAGACGAGCCGCCCAAGCCCCGCCCAGGCACCAACCCTCCCACCAACTCTCCCTGGGCCGGAGTCTCGGGAGTCCCAAGAGGCCCAAATTGTCTCTGGCTCAAAAATCGGTACCCTCCCTCCCACTGCTAGGTCCTCCAGTAGAGAGATTAGAATAAGGGCACCCTGTTCTCTGTAGTGTACTTACTAGGGGGACCTCCCCCAAAAAAGGGCAAAAGGGCACTACTGGGGGACCTAGACTAACATACTGTGGCTGGACGAAACCCATTTTGCACCACCCAAGAAACCCTGCAATGAGGAATTCTCGCCTGTAAACACCAACCAGCGATGGCTTCCAATGGTTTCAGAGTGGTGCAGGATTTCGTCCATCCAAAGAAGCTCCCCACAGGGGGTTCCTTTCAAAAAGGAAACCGATCTTCCAAGTACCCTCCCCACAGGTGCCATGTTTGTTGGAGGATGGGCATCCCAAAATCTTGGGGATGTGCCTGAAGGTGATGCCCTCCGGCTGTCTTGGATTCAAGGAAGCTTGCGATCGGTGCAATAGGTAGGGAATGTGGTCGAATGAAGGAATTGGTTGCGTTTAAAGGAAACCACAAGGCATGGTTTATATGAATAAACTGGTTGGTTGATTAACTTGCTGGTGCGATAGGTGGGGAATGTGGGAATAAACCCTAAAAAGGAGGAAAAGGAAGTGGGCATCAAACTCGGAAGGATGGGATGAAAGCAAATCAAGCGACAACATGCCCTTGCCGATCAGAGAGGCTTTCAACCAAATGGCAAGGAAGCAAAGGTCATCCGCCACAACCACTTCACAGTGCACAAGGGAGGCCAAAGGAACAAATGATTCTTGCATCCTTGGGGAGAGTACTGTAGCCGGTGGCTACCTCTGCACATTTATGACTGCACTTGAGCTGGTACACGCTCAAAAGAACGTTCCCGACTTGCTTGCAACATTCTAGGAGTCCTACTATTTGGTGGTTTTAGATTGTGGTTTGGTGGTTCAGGCTGGTTTCCCATTTGCCCTCTACTCGCAGCAGGGGTTTAAGCCCGCAAACCGGGGCACGCCATCCATGGCCACATGCACTTCCACCGACCTTGAACTACCTCAAGGACCTGTCAGGCGTCAGGGAAACCTTGACTTAACACGCGCCAAAGCAGGGACAAAGTGAGTGTGTTTTTTTGAGGGTGCCCCCTTTTTGTGGCTGCAAAGGGAAAACCGAGCGAAACATCAAAGCCATTTTGGGGGTACAAATCCTCGAAAAAGACACAGCTCAAATGTCGACTTCTTGTCGGGTGTCAATCTCGGCAAAGTGCACCTTGGTGTCACTCTCGCTGAAGCTCGACCAGACCTTGACATAGCGCACTGCCCTGAGGTCGAAGACGAAAATTGTGCCATAGCCTGTGCCAGCGTTCAATGCACCAACAAGCATGGAAACACCAACAAGCATGGAAAGTTTGTCGCACACTTGCTCCCCTTTCTTTTGGAAGATCATCTTTACAAAGGAGCCCGTGCACCAAAGCATGCTCTACGCAATGCTGCCTTTGTGGGAAGGTAGACATTTAGTAGAAGCAAAAGATGCAACAAATGTTGCCCAAACCTTGGCGAGTCGCTACCCTCCACTTCATCATAGGCGGCAGTCGGCGCAGTCTCGTCATCCTCAGAGCTCAGGAAGAGCGCCAAAACAAACACATGGCTCGCACCTCGCCCGCTTTTCGGGCTGAGACGCCGGTGGCCGGAGCCGAATTGGCCAAACCTTTCGAGCGCCGAAGGGCCATACTAGAATTACCCGCAAAAGCCGAAAAGCTCGTAAGTAGGTCCGGCGCCCTATGTCGACAATGAGCCTGGCTTTTCCTTTCCTTCGAGAAAAACTGACTGATCAATTTCAGTACCAAAGGTATCTGGTAGAGGCCTCCATGGTACTGGGCTGTCCGTTCTCAGATCCCTGGCTAAAAGTCCAAGCTCTTGGTGGGCTAAGAGGAAACTACGAGACCCACTTGAAGACCCACCAAAACACCTACGGAACAGGATGGTTGGGACCCACCCAAACAATCGGCTACCTTCGTACCGCCAAAAAACAACGCAAGAGCCTGAGGAACTGGACGACTGGGACTCCCCCACCCCAAAAAAAACATATTGTTCCTGGTTTTTGGGTAAAGGTGCATAGGAAAAATGAAAATCGCCACTGGCGATCTGGTATTATTGTCCCGCTCGCGCGCGGAATCCCCCGCCGCTGGTTGGCCGGGGGGCGTAGTAGGTGCTGGCCTCCCGAACCGTCGCCCAAGTGGAGCCGTCGCTGGAGGTCTCCAACTTCCGGCCGCAGTACATGAGGCCTTCGCACCCGAAGAGTACCACCTGCCGGTGAGCGGTTTTGGGTGGGTGGGTGGGTGGGTGGGTGGGTGGGTGGGTGGGTGGGTGGGTGGGTGGGTGGGTGGGTGGGTGGGTGGGTGGGTGGGTGGGTGGGTGGGTGGGTGGGTGGGTGGGTGGGTGGGTGGGTGGGTGGGTGGGTGGGTGGGTGGGTGGGTGGGTGGGTGGGTGGGTGGGTGGGTGGGTGGGTGGGTGGGTGGGTGGGTGGGTGGGTGGGTGGGTGGGTGGGTGGGTGGGTGGGTGGGTGGGTGGGTGGGTGGGTGGGTGGGTGGGTGGGTGGGTGGGTGGGTGGGTGGGTGGGTGGGTGGGTGGGTGGGTGGGGTGGGTGGGTGGGTGGGTGGGTGGGTGGGTCTGGCTAGCTTTGGTCTAGGGTTGGCGGGTCACCCAAATGGGAAATCAAATTGAACTATCCTCTGGATGAATAGTCCCAATGAACTAGCGAACCTTCACTTTTACCACGCCGCTCTTGAAGCCAACGGCCTTTGAGGTTCCAAACAGACGTTTCTTGCGGGGGGGAAACGGGGGGAAACGGGGTAGCCTATGTATTGGTTTGGTCTATGGAATGCACACTACCAGGACGCCCCGCGAATACTGTGTTCCCCTCGGCCTATTCGTCATTCCCGCAGCTTTCTTCCGTTGACTTCGTCAAGAAGTTGGGCCTCTTATCCCACAGAATTGCCCCCAACTTCCGAAAAACCGACTGTCCGCTAACCCAGGTAGTTGCTCAGAAGGCTCGTCAACCTCAAACGGCAAGCTAGCACTGCGGCAGCAAAACAGGAGAACAGGAGTCCAGCGAGCAAAATAAGCCCGCCCATTGGACTTCCCTTTAAACAATTCAAATCTTCTGGGCGATTTTCAGAGGTCGGACTTGGAGCAGACCGCGCCCCCCTCCCAACCCAACCGCCTGCCTTGTTCACCAACTTGGTGGGTGTGGCAAAGGGAGAGCTGGCCAGAGGATGTCCTGGACTCGGGCTCGTGCGCTGGGTGTTCTGGGGGGGGGGGAACAAGCCATGTGCATCCCCTGGTGGTTTGCTTCAACGTAATGTTCCGTTGAAGTAACCCGGAGGACCAAACGAAGTCGAGGACTCCTTGGCAGCCGGAGTTTTTCGCATGCTAGTACAGCTAGGAGCTGCAAAGTGGGCCAAGAATTGCTCTGAATGAGTCTGATACGGTCCACGATCCTGAATGCCACTCCGGCAAATGCCCCGCTCTCTGCCGATGGTGCCAAAACAAAGGGGGGCACACGAGATCTCGCAGGCGGACAAGCTGGCCAGGGTGGTTAACCCCCCCCCCCCTCCTTGGCCTTCCATTGACTGGAGTCCCCAACCCGGCCGAACCTCAAGGTGAACTCCCTTTCTCAGTTGCCCAAAGGGCTTGACATGGCCATGACGAAAAATGGCCCAGGAAGGGGAACCAAAAAATCGGCTTTGGGCAAGTGAGTTTGGGCTTCCTTCCACCTAGTGGCTTGGATTGGTGGTTTGATGGTTAGGGAGTGGTTTCCTACCTACCCTCTACAAGAACTAGGAGTTCAAATCCAAAAACTAAGGGTTACCTGAACTGTTGGCTTCCTTGAAGAAAAAAAAAAAAAAAGCAACTCTCTTAGAAAACCCCAGCTCGCCCCACACCCCACGCCTAGGTCCAGCTGCACCCAGTACTGCGAGGTGCAGAACTCCGCGGTCGCGGTGGCCAGTGCCCCGCTGTAGGCCGAGGCGTCCGTGCACTTGGTCCCGTCCGTGACGGCGCTACCTCTGCGGTTTCTAAGTGTGTGGGGTGTGAGGGCCGAATCCCAACTCCTTGGGGGTGGGGGGGGGGGGAAACAAGGACCTCGGCGGTAGGTTTGTGGGGGTAGGACCAAAATGGGTTGCCCGATCGGTAAGTGGAAACATGGACCAAGACCTGCGGCTTGCCCCTCCTGCTTAATTTTTGAGCCGCACCCAAACTTCAACTGAATGGGGGCGGGGGGGGCAATTAAGGACCTCTGCGAATCTAGGGGTTGATTCCGATCAACCATTCTTTTCAACCATCGTTCTTTGCAAAAACCGGCCGTTTTCCCTGGTTTCCGGATGTTTTCTAGAAAGAAGGATCCCTGGAAAGATGAATGGGGTGGGGGGCCTTGGAACCAAATTAAGGGTGAGCCTTGAAACCAACATTTTGCCATGGCCACAGGACAATGACTATACCCTTCTTTTAGGGGCAAGGGAAACCCAAACTTGGCCAACCTTCAACCCTAAACCCAGGATTCGACAAAAGCATTGTCGTCATCATGTTCGTCAAGGGCTAGGAAGGAAATCTTACCATTGACCCAGCAACAGGGAAACCAAAAGGGAAACAGCCATGTTTGGGGCGCCCTAGTTGACACACAGTTGCAACCAGCGACCTCAAAAAGGGGGAAAAAGGAAGCCAACGGCCCAACCGGTTGCTTGGACCAATGTCAAAACCGTGAGGGGGTGTTTTTTGTTTGTCCCTGGCGCAAGGGTGTAGCACACTCTAGTCCACTGGTGGGGCATGCAGAACAAAGCCAAGAACCCACAAACCCACCAAAAGGCGTCCGAATGGCTCGCCTTGGGTTTGGTTGCGTAGCTTGCAGGCGTCAAAACGAGGGCCTCAAATCCCACAAGCCCCTGAAAGCCAGGATGCAATGGAACCATTTCCACCGAAGTTAACTTCCCCCCCCCCTTTTCTATATTTGGGAAACCATGGATCCCTGCTGACCATGCGAAAACCATCTCCAAATGACTAAAGTTGTGGCCCGGGACGGTCCAAAGCGGTTCGGCTTCAAGTTCCGCAGGTGTTGGTTCAGAACGGTCCAGAGCCCACGACTACCCGAAACCCGTGAGCCACTCCAAACCACATGGCTGTGGCTCAAAAAACCGGAATTCCAAAACGGGTTGCCCTGGTAAGTGGAAACATGGACCAAAACCTGCGGTTTGCCCCTCCTGTTTAATTTTGAGCCACACCCACGTGGAAGTCTTCCGCTTTGCTTAACAGTGCGGCTCCCATCGGCTCCCTCCATACGTTATGTAGAGCGTAGGATCTTTGCTGTGGACGGACCGTCCCAACTGCAGCATTGTATCCATACCCAGTATGATATTCCGCATGATCTTGCAGTATGAGTTTGGTAAGTCGAACCAGAATCTCAAGAAACTGGATGTGGTGTCTGTCTTTTTCAAAACAAATGGTTTTCCTCTTGGTTCTCCTTGGAAACCCCAAAAATTACCCTCTCTTTGTCCACCGGGGCGAGACAAATGACGCTCACCTCCCTCCAATGCGCTCCAAGCTGCCGCAGCTCGAGACAGAAGAGTCGCAGGTAATGCCTGGCGAAAGCGTGGGACGTGAATCTGGTCACCTCACCCCAGGCATCAGCAGAACCCACGGCAACTTGCGGTTTGAGTTTGAAGAAACCCTGCAAGTTGGTACAGCATGCCCAGTAAACACAAGTTCGGACGTACAAAACACCGTTGGCCGAGCGTTTAGGCAACCTTGACAAATGGACCACGACCAAAGACGCAACAATTGACCTAAGACGCAAGAAATGATCTGCCAAACGGACCAAAGACACAAGAATGGACCAAAGACGCAATAAATGATCAGCCAAACGGACCAAAGAAGGAAAAATTGACCAAAGACGTAAAACATGGGCCAAGTGGACCAAAGACACACAATGGCCCAAAGACGCAAAACACGGGCCAAACGGACCAAAGACACAAAGATTGACCAAAGACGCAAACAATGGGCCAAGCAACAGGAAGAAGAAAAAAAAGAAAAAGGGCGCCCTTTGCATCCCTGGGCCCAGGGGATTTTTTTCGCCTCACCTGCGGAGGGCGCCAGGTTGGCGGACTTCCCCGCGCGCAGGGGGCCGCAGGTCACCAGGCCCGCGCGCATGGCGAAGGTGGAGAGCTGGGAGCTGGCCGGCCAAAGCCGCACGTAGCCTCGTCTGTCGGATCGATCGCTCGACCGCTAAGGGGGGCTGTTGGGCGGGGTGGGGGTTGGGGAGGGGGGAGTGGGGGGGGGAGGTGGGGGGGGGAGTGGGGGGAGTGCGGGGGGGAGTGGGGGGGAGTGGGGGGGAGTGCGGGGGGAGTGCGGGGGGAGTGCGGGGGGAGTGTGGGGGGAGTGGGGGGGGGGGTATCCCTGGATAAGCCCAGGAGAAGTCCCCCGGTTTTGTTGATTTGGTTTTGAGGCGGGGCTGAGGGGGGTCTATCCCTAGACAAGCTCAAGATAAGCCAAGGATAAGCTCCAATGGGTCGACATGAGTGCCCCCTGGTTTTGTTCATTTCCTTCTGCTGGTTTTGAAGGGAATCACTATGGGAACTATTGTGGATGGACGCGAAATCCATTCCGCTTCTCGCACTGTTCAGAAACCCAGCGGGACGATTCGATTCCCCTGTAAATGCTAACGAACAATGGTTTCAACCATGGTTTCAAGTGGTGCGAAATGGATTTCGTCCATCCACAGTAGGTCAACATGGGTTGACTAGGGTCATTGCTGGAGCCAAGGTGAGTGGGGCGCTGGTCAAGGTCAGTGGGCCGCTTTCTTTCCCAAGGCCAAAGCCCTCGCAGTTAATGCAGTACCAAGCACTCACACATATGTGGATGAACTGGAGGTCCCTAAACAGGATCATCATGTCCCCGATCACCGGCCTAAAATTGCCCATCCTGGTAAGTGCCACCCGGATAAATATACGCTCGAACGAATCGAACTATATGTCCTACATCTTGATGCCTTGATTCTCTGAGGCACATGTCGCCTTCAGTGCGGCTTCAAAAAGAGTGGCATGCCTCGCAGAAGGTCCCTGGACCAGGCGAATTGTGAAGAACTCGTAAGCTCGTGCAAATGGGTCGCTCGCCTTTTGGAAACCATCCAAATCCCTGTGCCTCAGACCTTGCACCAACTAGGTGGTTGACCCCAGTACAATGGGCGAATTACAGCAAGCTTACCTTCAAAAAAAACGCGGGCAGCTTTCGGGTTTCCGCTCGCTGGTGGGTTTGGCTGGGCCAGCCAGCCACTCTGTAGGGGATCTTGGGGCAACTTCGGCTGTGGGTTCCCATGTCAGTTTCAGCATTCTTCTCAATTTTTGGAACTTTCTACGTTTTGGGACTTGCCGGCGTAGTGGCAAACAAGCCGTTAAGGCGCAGAGGCACCCTTTTCGGGGTTGGACCAAAAGGAAACCACCCAGTTGCGGGGTACCCCAATATTCAGCAGACCCACATATCTGCCAATCCACTCAGGAAGCGAAAAACACCAACCAAACAAGAGCAAGGTTGTGAGAAAGAGGGGGGCCCTTCTGCCTTCTGTGATGCGGGGGGCGCACAGACGTGACTGACTGGGGATGCATCATTTTTTGGGATAGAAGGCCCGCCTGTGTCCGCGTCCCCACTTGAGGCCGACGTCTTCCAAGGGGGAAGGCCCCTTGCACCTCCCCTGTCCAGGTCCCTTGCAAATGCGCTCCAGGTGATTCTTCATGTGGCGGCAAAAGAAGAAAGCTGCATCTGGTTGGCACCTCTTTTATGCAGCTGATTTCGGAAAATCCCCTCCAAAACAAAAGTTGAAAGCATGAGATAGGTGTTTCTTTTACTAAACTCAGCGGTCAAGCCTCCCTCAGCAAACAGAAAGGTGACAAACCCACATGGGTTTGCCTGTCAAAGGGGACCCCCAAAATGGCTTCGCTTTTCCTTTTGGTCTCCCTTAAAACACACGCACCCATCGCACCCCCAAACCCCAAACCTCCATGTCCCTCTCGGCATTCTCCAAGCTACGCGCTCGCATCGGCAGGGGGAACTTGGTCACCTTGTGGGTGGCGGCATCCACGTTGCCCGGGAAGACCCCGGCGATGGGCACGTAGTTGGTGCTGTCCTCGCCTACATGCGGACGTGCGGGTCAGCCGGGGCGGGGCCGGGGGTGGTGGATGGTGGTCGGGGATAGGCCGGCTAAGGGTCTATTGGCTTTTTGATACCCAAACCCAATCTAGTTAAGCGGGCCCTTACACTAGTTGACTAACAGTCGACCCCGGGTTGGCTAATAGGGACAAACCCGAAAGTGAAAAAGGGGATGTGATATATGGGTGTCATTTAAAACAGGGTACATTTTGGGGGTTGTTTTCCAACAAAGCCAAAGGGGCACCGATCATTTCGGGGACCAGCATGCTAAGGCTCACCTCAATGGGGGGGGGCAAGCTCACTTTTTGAGGGAGTTGCACGCTCCATATCCCCCAGCCCCAGCCAGGACGACCTATGCAAGATCAAGCCGGCTCGACCCCCAGGAATCTTGCAGAAACGCTCCAAAACAAAAATCGAAGTCAGGCAAAAGGCCGCGAAAATGTTGCTCCATTTTGGAAACGCCCGACCAAAGCGAGAAAGAAAAAAACTGGCGCAAACCGGAGGGAACACATCTCGTGGGGTTGGTGCACGGAGTTTGCTGCAATGCCCACGTGGCTATGCACATCTAATTTGGGCGCGCCCCTCAATAGTATACATCCCCAAGAGATGTCCACAAAATGGTCCCCCAATTCAAACTCATACCCACATCATGCGGGCACCAGGTACTCCGGCCACATTGAGCAAGCAAACAGCGCGTTGAAGTTTGGGGTCCGGAAGGGCATACAAATCCATCCCCCTTCTGGTTGCCCCGTTCACTCAAACAGATTGCATGAAGCCAAGACCTGCAGCCAGCTTCCGGCAAGAAAGCCTTGCTTGTCTTTGTTTGGTTCCCTGTTCAAACCTCTCTCCCAAATGCAACAGAGGAAGAAGAAAAAAGAAACCAAAAAACGGAGGACGTACCTTTTACCCACCACCTGCTTTGGTTCTGTGGTTTTTCAGTGGTCGATTTACCTGGGCCCACAGCCTTGAGACACGCTAAACCCCGCGACTTGGGCCCCGCACTGATATCCACCTGGCGGAATTGGCTCCCGAACCGAGAACGAGCTCTCGCTGAGACTGCGGCCACGGATCTGTGCTTTTTTGGGGGGAGAGGCGGTAGACGGAGACTCCACCCGGGCTCTCCGTTTTTAGACCCCTGCGAAAAGTCGGAGCAGGCTTTGCTCCTATCATTGCAAAAGTGCTCTATATATATAGATATATGTGACTATTCCAGTATGTAGCTACTAGCGGTGGATGCCCTTAGGCATCCGTATCCTTTGCAAGATCTCGCTGCCTAAGCCCGGCTGCTTAAGCCTGCTTGGAATGCTCCCAGCTTCGCCGGGAAAACGTAGGTGAGGTGGGTATGGGATGGATTCCTCCACCCATAATACCGGCCGTTATAGAAACCGCATCAGCTCCAAGTGCTTTTTGTGTGTCTTCCCTTGATTTTCAGGATAGAACCGGCTCCTAGTCCTTTAAAGGAGACCCCTCCTGCAAAGAGGGTGAGTAACCCCGCCAAGGGGTGGTCTTCTTGTAGGCCAGCTTCACTTTCTTGATAGGTGCGAGGGTATCTTTGCTCCCCCTGGTTTAAAAAAAGTGCTTGATACCGGTCCATGTTCAGTCAAGAATTGGATTTCACTGCGAAATGTCTCACTTCCTGAGTGGATTGGCCATCTCCCAAAAAGTGTTCAAAGTCCAGGAACCCCGGGAGTAAGATGGCCCCGCTCAAAAAAATGAAGCAACACCCTCCCCTCGCCCCCAAAAAAAACACCCCAAAAAAAGGAAAGATCCCCCCCACCCGGGAAAAAAAGAAGAAAGAAACACGCGCGGCCCAAAACCGCCGGCCTCAAAGCTCTGCACCCAGTTGCTGGTGCTGCCGCTCCCCTGGGACACCACGCCGCAGACCTGACACGTCGACCCGTCGACCCGTCGACCCGTCGACCCGTCGACCCGTCGACCCGTCGACCCGTCGACCCGTCGACCCGCCGTCCCGTTTGACGGTCGGGGAATCGGTCCTTGTTTGGACCCGTGCGGCGGGGAACAAAAAAACGACTCCGGAGCCAACCAATGCTAAAACAATACTACCCTCCAACACCCTTTTACTTTCATGGGAACTTTCCCTTTAAAGGGACCGGGGCCCGAACGTCGAAGGCTTCCATGTTGATTCTGGGATCGTCCTCAAAAATCGGTGTGCTCACAGGTGCTCTCTTTTTTTGGGGGGAGGGTAGTTGCAAGTTCTGTTTCCGAAACCATCAACTGAGGGTCTGTGTCCCATGCTTGTCTACGTCCTCCAGTAGAGAGGTCCCCTTGATCCTGTGGTCTATTTTAGTAGGGGAACCCTCCCCCAAACAAGGGTAAAAGAGCACTACTGGGGGACCTAGTTGTTGGGAGAGTTGGGGGTCCAGAGCCAAGACGGTCGCCGAAGTTTAGTTCAGCAATAGGCTGACGCCAGCATATCATGGCGAATTCAAAGGGGGAAGGATTCCTACACTTGAAGCTAAGACACCCCAATCTAGTTTGCAACTCATGAACCAGGTGGTTCCCCTTGAGGCACCAGAAATCCTATTTTGGCCAGACTTCGAACAGGTTTGCAGGGGAACCGCCAACAAACCCATAAGGGAGGCCATGAGAGCACGGTTTCCGAACACAACGGCCTTGTTTGTGCACACTGAATTGAAGGGCCTACTTCAAATTGGCAAAAACGATGCCCAACAATGGTGCCAACCTGAGAAATCCCCCAAACAAGTACGGTTGGGAACTTCAATGGGGAGCCCCCTTTCCACTTGTGCTCACTTGCTGAGTGGATGGCCCAAAAAAAGGTCCAAACTTAATATTCACCACTACACTGGTCTTCCCAAAACGTTCAAGTTCATGAACTCAGGAATTGAGTGTGAGGTGGTTCCCGCTTAAAATATGTGTCGCCAGATCAATCAGACCGCCAAAAAAAAACCGGGGGAAAAACGAGGAAAAAAAACAACCGAGGCGCGAAGTGATTGTTGGAGCCCACGTCGATGATCATGTACTCGTCCGTGGTGGTGTCCGGGCTCCACATCTGCACCCCGGAGGTGTCATCCAGAGCGCCTGAGCTGCATACCGGCCCATTCCCAGCCGGGGGGGGAGGAGGGGGGGAGGAGGGGAGAGGAGGGAGGAGGGGGGAGGAGTGGGGAGGAGGGCGGAGGAGGGGGGAGGGAAATTGGAGTGTGGAACTCCGAGCCTCCACTGAGGCAGCTTGCCATCGTGCTAGTGGCAAAGGCATCTCAGCGAATATTTTTTCTCGATAGCCCAAGCTTGTCCATCACCCACGATTTCTTTTACTCTGCTTCCCATAAATCGATTCAAGTCAGGTTGGGCTGTTGTGTTTCCGTGGGTCCCGCCATGCCTCAAGTGAGCCACACTTTTTGTCTGGCTGCGCCCATGAAGGAGGGAGCTGGGGCTCCATCTCTTGCCTTTCTGGGGGCAAGCATTGGTCCATGGATTCCTCAAAAGCTGCACATTGCTTTTTCGTGTCCAATACTGCCACTTTTGGAGACCCCACAAAAGGGATTCTGAGGGGTGCCTGTCAAAGTTTTTCCTGATCCGTGCAGGAAAGAAATTCTGGCAGTGGTGCCCTTTTGGGGGGGTGATGGGCGCAAAGAAATTGGGCGGCGACAGTCAGTTCGCCTCTTCACATGGGTCCTTGTTCCTCTCCACTTGATCATTTCCCCCGAGATGGCGCTGTCTTGGTCCAGAAAGGCTACGTGCCACAGTTCCTGTACTGCCATATCCTGGACCCGGTAGCTCCGAAAGGCTCCTTTGGAAGCAAATTTACGGACACCAGCTGCAGAACGGCCCCTTCCAACCAGCTAGCTTACGTCCATTTGGTCAGGACCCCTGGAAAAATAGACTCCTGTTAGAACTAAAAGGGGATTACAAATATATATGGGAAGCATAAGGAAATGAAAGAAAACCCTCTGCAAAAAAAAACAAAAAACAAAACGATAATGCATACATTCTTCCATGATTTCCAACTACCAAAAAAACACTTCTCAAGCAAATGGAAGCTCAGGTCCTCATCGGCTTTTCCACGTCTCAGGCCCGGGCCCAACGCGCCGTTCGTGGAGCTCGAGTAGGTCCTCCGGACAAGATGCCATCCAAAAAACGTGGGGCAGACACCTTTGGGTGAATTATTATTTCACCAGCCTGAAATACGGCGGTTGGGGGGGCTATTCCCCACATAAAGCACCATTTGGGGTGAATTCGGTCGTGTGAGGTCGTTATAATTCACCTAGACGCCTCCAATTTGCGGAGGCCCCCGCCCCAAAAAAATGTTGCTGTAACGACCCCTCCGCAAAAAGCCGTTCACTTTCTGGTGGGTGAATGTTCACAAAAAGCCGGTCACTTTTGGTGGGCTCATGTTCACTGTTGGTGGGTTAACTTCGGAAAACGACTGGGGTTTCAACCCGAAAGATAAAGTCTGAAGACTCAACACGGTAGCAATCAAGAATTTGCTGCGGATGCCCCAAGAGAACAAGGAAACCCTCCAACGCAGTAATTGTTGACCCCGGATCTAAGTAGAACGCCTGGTTGATGGACAGGGACATGTCCTCTTGTAGTGGACGTTTCGGGTGTCGCAAAATCCGGCTTGCCATCGGTTTGTCATGGTGTTTGCGTACGATTGGTTTACTTGCCGTATTTTTCGTGCATCCACCGCACCCCTGCTTTGATTCCTGGACGACGGGCAATCGACAAATCGGCAATTCCAAGCCCCGGCATTTGAGGAAACCGCAACTCGCCGCCATTTGGACCGTGCTCACAGGGGATCATTATTTTTCCCATCGGAACAGGGATGTGGGGAATGGAATCCACTTCTGTGATACAACGGAAAGGGCTTTCCCAAAGACTATTTTGTTAATAGGAAGGGGGATTCCCTTGTATCACAGAAGTGGGGAGAAACCCCTTGCCCTGTTCTTTTCCCATCGGAACAAAAAGCTGGTTTTCTGAAACACGACGAAAAGAGCATCAGCGGTTTTGAGGTAGCCCACGTCTTCACGCAAAAGGCGAGGGTTCCTGAGCCGATCTGAAAAACTGCAGAATGTGATGCCCCTTCCCTTTAAACACCAAAATCGGCATAACGAAGGGGAACCGCAGTGACGAGAACACCAGCCTACAAAAGGGGGAATTCAACTCTCATGTGGCCCAAAGCTTCATCCAAAGGGGGCCGCCTTGCATCGCTTTGCAAATAAATAGGGAAGCCCGCCAACAAAATGTCGATTCCCTCTTCTGCCCCTGCTGTGACAACACTTCTATTCCTTATCTATATAGAGGTGAGGATTGTATGGAAATTGTTGTTGAACAACTAAAGGAAGTACACTCATAAATATCTGATAGAAACACATAAATAAGACATAATGTGACATAATTTATGAACTCCATGTTGGCCCATTGTTGTTAAAACTTGAAACTGTACCACAACTTCAGAAGAGTGAGAAGAGATCCAAGTTTCGGCCCCCCGTTTGGAACCCCCCCAACCCAAACCACCACTGCTTCCACGCACAGCCTGGGTCATGTGGGTGTGTGTCAGAAGTGGCCCTCTCCCCCGCCAAAGAAAAAGAAAAACAGATTCTTCATTTGGGTGTCCTGTGGTGCCTTTGGTTGGTGGTTTGGAGGCGGGTGGCCCCCCATCTCTTCAACAGCCAGGGCGTGAACCCCCCCCCCCAAACCACCAATCCAAACCACCACCAAAGGGGTTGCCCAACCAAACAACGAGCCAAACAACCAACCAACCAACCAACCAACCAACCAACCAACCAACCAACCAACCAACCAACCAACCAAGCAAGCAAGCAAGCAAGCAAGCAAGCAACCAACCCTCTAACCAAATCAGGGCTACTTTAGCCGGACTTGTTGTGGTCTCCACGGCACGGCGTGAGCAGTACCGGTGGTACCTGGACCAGGTCTTATACCGTCCGAGTAGCATCGCGCTACTCCATACACGGCACCCGTCGTCTTCCCCGGGATCCCGGAATCCCGAATCCCGGAACGCTCTGGGCGCCCCGGCCGCGCGGTGCTGGCGGGGTTCACCAACGCCGGGGGCCAAGTTGCAGAGTAGCACTCGCACCTCGGCCCCCAAGGGGTGGTGCTTTGGAGTGCTGGGAACTGGGGATTTGAACCCCTTCTTGTAGAGGATTGGGAAACCATCCCTCTGCAAACCAATCCAAACCCTTTCCGAGGAAAGCTGCTTGTACTGGAAGAATGCGCTTGGAGCCAAGTAGCACAATCCTACCAGTTGGGTTGGGGGGGGGGATTCAGGCCCCACAAATGCGATATGGTTGGTGGTTGGTGGTTCTTTCAGAGCCCCAAAAATGCGTGGCTTTCCTAGTGGTTTCCTTTTGAAACCAACGAAAGGGATGCCCGCCAATAGAAAAGACACTCCCCATGTAAAAAAAACAGATAAGATCATCCGGGCGTTGATCAATCCAGGTCAACATCACGGCGGATGCCTGAAATACGGGCTCCTGTTCGTTGAAACCAAAAGCAAAACCGAACATTTTGGGGGACCCCTCCTTCGGAGGTGTTTTTGGGTGTTCGTCCGGCATCAAGTGAGGAAAAGGGAAGCCCATATGAACTTCCAGTTCCCGCTTTGGCACCTTGAAACGCCATCCCAAAAGGGGGTTTCCCAAGCTCACTGACTCAAAAGAAAGGGCTGTGATTTCTTACCAGGGTTTTGTGGTTGAGTACGGTGTTAGGGCTTCCTTCTTGTTTCAAAGCTGCGAAAACAATTGGGGAGAGGGCAGCGGATTGACGGGAGGATGCCCCTCGATGAGTCCAGCCCAAAGCTGCCGGGCTGCAGCTGGTAGTTGCTCACCTCCGTGCAGCCATACCTCCAGCAGTTCAGCGGAAATTTCTAGTTCGGGGGTCTACGTAGGTGGCAAAACAACCAACCCAACCCAACCCCAACCCAACTCCAACCCCAACCCCAACCCCAACCCAACCCCACCCAACCCCAACCCCAACCCCAACCCCAACCCCAACCCCAACCCCAACCCCAACCCCAACCCCAACCCCAACCCCAACCCCAACCCAACCCCACCCACCAACAAACCAACCAACCAACCAACAAACCAACCAACCAACCAACCAACCAACCACCCAACCACCCAACCACCCACCCACCGCTTGAATGCCGCCAGGTGTCTCCGTCTGGGACTGGTATGCCTGAGCCACCGGGTTGTCCCTCCACGTGTTACCAGGGCCCTTCCAAGAGAAAATGTATCTTCCTTCGCTAGTGGAATGAAGGGTACCCCCAAACTAACACATGGAACCCGAAAAGGGGTAGCCCCACAAGGAATCCCATTCCTGTGCAAATGATGGCTGTGCATGTTTACCGGCCAACACATAGGAGCACGTGCGGGGCAGCGCCCTTGCTGGGTGTCAATTCAAAGGCTGAATGTATACATCCATACATGGACCCTTGGTGTGAACCCCTTGTTAATGGGTTAAGCAACCGTCACTTGGGGGATATCAGCCCCTAAAGGGTCCAACATAGCCATGGGTTCCTTCAAAATGGGTGTGTACAATCAGCCTTTGATTCACTTTGAATCACAGATTTCCGCATGCCAAGCTTTAAGTTTCCTGCAACAAGTCCTCAACCTGTTTTTTCCTTGTTGCAACGGAACAATGGAACATGGAACATCAAGGAAACCCAAAGGGTTTCCACAAACATGTCGAGACGCTCTACGTTTCGCGCTCCTTCCAACAATCCAATGAGTGAACTGTCTACTTTGATTGGAGGGTAGTGAAAGGGAGGTGCACAGCAGTCATAGCGACGAGTGCCGATTGGGGCGAGGACCAACCTTACCCAAACCACCTGCCAACGTGTGCAGGATTTTGTCCATCCACAACAACCCTGGTTGATTTGGACCGGGGGTTGTCTCCTTGTGGAAATTCTAACGGAAGATCGTCAAAGAACCCGATCAACTGAGCCCAAAATTCGAGGTATTTGCATACAATTCTGGACCATTGCGCCTTGAAATAGCAAGTTGGGGTTTTGGCAGGTACGTTGCCAACGCAACCAAGACGATGGAACCCCTCCCTACAGATTGACAGGGAACGGGGCTCCCCCAAAGAGGAGTTTCCCCTTCTGGGCTCCATGCCAAACTATCGGATATCGGGAGAAACAGCATGGATTCTGCTTGGACCCGGGGTCAGGCCCAATGCCCTCAGGCCGATAGGAGTTCTAATTTGAGCAAATCGATGGGTTTCCCTAGTAGATGATGAAACCACCAGGGCAACCAGGAATCGCCATCTCTTTTTCTACCACCATGCTACTTGTCCCTTACTAAACCTGGGCATAAGCGGCATAAATGAATCCTTTGGAGTGACTTCAGCTGGAGCCAATCAGGGAAACCACCTCCTAGTCCAAATACCCGCTTTTTCCAGGGCATTGTTGGGAAAACCCTGCCCCCCTCAGAGGCCAGCCACGGTGTCGGAGCCCGACATGCTGCAGGACCCGCTGCTGGACACCGCGGCCGCCTTCAAGCACTGCAGCCCGTAGGTCCCACAGAACTGGCCTGGAGTCGTTGAGGCTCAGGCGGCGATGTGGGGGCGATGGAGATCTTGCCAAGCAAAAACCAGACTCAACCACTGAACCACATAACCCAGGTAACTACAGTAACAAGTGAAGGCTGCCCTAGATGTTTTATCTTTATTTTTTTTAGGTAAGCCACTTCTGTAAAAAGCAAAGGGTGCCTGCCCTAGATTTCGTGGCTCTTTTTCCCGGTAGACTACGGTAAAAAAGTAAAGGGTGCCCTAGATTCCTTTTTTTCCCCCCCCCCCCCGGTAGACCACGGTAAAAAGTAAAGGGTGCCCCTAGGTTTCAATTGTTTCCCCGCTTGCAAGATGGAGGCGTCCGATCGGCCCCTTTCAGCTTTGAGCATCGCCAGAACAATGCAGGGCCGACAGGTTCGAGGCGGGCTTTCCGATGCAGTGATGCTCCTTCAACTCAGTTGTTCAGTGACCCTGGAAAAATGGGAACCCTTCTTGGGAAAGACCATTTTGAGTGAGCAGCCACCAAAAAAGTCAGCTCAGGTGATATCCCCAACTGCATGCGGTGCTCTTTTTAATGCTCGCGCCACCCCGCAGCCCTTGCAGAACCTCGTGGAACCCTCCTAGAACCCTGCTAAAACCCTCGTGGAACCTTACCGCAGGGCCGCCCCGGACCATCCCGGAGCCTATCTGGGCTGAGACCCCAAAGCTTTCAGCTGTTGGGGGAGGGGAGGGGAAAAAAGAAGGAAAAAGGGCACCACTGAACAACTGAGTCAAAGGAGGCCCGAGCTCGTCAAATCACTGCATTCGGGGCTAGTTTTTTCTTGGAGGATACCCTTTTTGGTGTGGTTGGTCCTGCATATTCCAGGGCCCGACCTTACCACCTCCCCAAACACCCACTCAAGTAAACAGAGGCAACACAAAAACAAGCAAAGAAGTTAAAACACATACCCTGAAGGTCCAGCCCTTGGAGCACGTCCCATCTTCCACCCTTGGAACCAGTGCAGGAAAGGCTGTACTTGGGTACGTCTCAACACATGGAAGTCGGCATTTCATGGACGACATCCATTTCGCACCACATTGAAACAATATGTTGTTTAGCCATTGCTTGTTGGCAATTACGTTGGAATCGGAATCCCGGAATCCGTTCATCCCGTTGGGGTTTCACGGTGGTGCGAGACTGGGGAGGGGCGCTCCCTTCGCCGAGCGGCTGCATGTCTTGGGGGATAAGCCGCTGACGTCCGCAGACACAAGGCAGGTGCCTGGAGGAGTCAAAAAAAAACATGGGAGTTGGGCACCGGTTTGCCAGGGCAACCAAGGGAAAACCACCAAAATGGAGTCTCTGGGTACCGGTTTGCCAAAGAAGCCAAAGGGATCTTTAAGGGAAAACCACAATTCTGGGGGACCCCTGTTGAAAAAAAAAATACAAGAAACAAAAAAGGGGAAAAACAAAACGCACACGGTTGTCCGCTCCCCCGCAAATTGTCACATGGAGCCAGAAAAGGCCTATGCAAAGGCAATCTTATACCCCCCCCAGCTCCAGAACGGCCCCCTTCCAGCCAGCTACCCGCAACCCACCCCCCCGCCCGGGCAAGCCGATAGTCCTTTCTCAGTCTGCGGATGCCAAATGTCAAACGCAATGCACGACCACCCATGCCAAAAGGAGCCTGCTGGAATTCCTGGCAAACGTTTGGGCAAGGTGGAACCTGGAAAGGGGGTTGATTCCTGGGAGCGCGAGTCTGGAGGGATTCGGACTTGTGACATTCCGTGCGGCTTTCCAGTCACTAGTGACCAGCCTCACCAAGACAAACTGCCCAAGAACGATCAGGACGCAAAAGTTGTAGAGGAGCTTGTTTTTTGGACCATTGGACGGTCCTGCGACCAGCAGAATGGGTTGGGTTTCTGGTGACAGGTCAAGCTTTGAAACAATGCAAGGGGCTGCAACACGACCTGGCACCATAGTCATTGGAAGGGTTCTATGATTAGGATAAAGAGAAAGGGCATTATTTACTTTCTATTTCAAGTTCTTTCCCTTTTTATAAATCTCAGACATCATTGAACAAGAATTAGCAAAGGATAAAAACCGGAATGACATGAACTCCTTCTATCCACGACCTTCGGGTTCCCAAGACACACATCCCAGCTGACTTTGACCACCCCAGGCCCTGAACAACAAATCAAAGGGGCGCTTCCCATGTTCCTCCATTTGCATAGAAGCCCCCTGGGAAAAAATAAAATAAAATACGTCCAGATAGATTCCCTTTGAAACCAACAGGGGAAAATAATATATATATATATATATGAACTCTTAAGCAAATGGAAGTTTTCAGGGCCCCAGAAAATGGCAAGTGCCCCCTCTCTGATCCGAATCGAATCCAGCGGATTCAAAAGCCACCGGCCAAGCCACCCTTCATGTGCCAGGCATGACGCTCGGCGCGGCAGTCCGTTCCTGCACTGTTTTGATCCCCCCTACCTTAAGGGCGAGGGGGGTGGGGATCCCTCAAGTCCATTTACTTACTCGATCTTCCGCACAAAATTGGGAAAATGGCACCATAAATGGAGATCTCCAGGGTCACCGGGTCACCCCCCTCACCAACCGTTTTAAGAATTGGGCGGGGATCCGTCTTGGTAGGTGACCCGCGGCGGGAACCAACGCAAAAAAAAACAGCAAAAAACCCACCCGGCCAATGTCTCTCCCTCGCCGTTGCGTCCGGAGGGTCTTGACTCAGCAAGGCAACGAAAAAGGTGCGACAACCCGGGCCGTATGATGGAACTTCAGTTCAATCCGCCGAGGCGCTACTCTAAACACAACCTTTTCCGATTCTATGCCATGTTTACTCAACCCCAAGAAAACTAAGGAGACCCCAGAAATCAGTGAAAGGTCTTACAATTACGTCCGCTTTCCGCCTTCCGCCTGGAACGGCCCGGACGAATCGCCAAGTTTGAGTTGACGCTTGCTGACTCAGTGTTCCGGAAGCTCAGGTTCAACTCGGCCAAGCTGCCCCAAAACCCCGAAGACCCGCTTTGGAAAACTCGGTTGCTTTCTGCTCCCCTGCTAAAAGTGGACAACTTTTAGTGGTTGAATTCGGAAAACCCACTAGTTCGCAAAAAGTTAAAGTCCTAACATCCTTTGGCAACATGCACCAAAGAAAACATGCATGGCCGGTCCCCGTGAAATTACCGGCTCCGGGACCGCTCCTGGCAGCAAGTAGCATGCGCTGAGCCGGGCAAGGCTCACCTGGTTCAACGTCAAGACCTGCATGGCGGAGGAAGCTAAAAGGAAGCCAACCATGTTTTGGACCACGAATTTGAGAGGCACCCAGATTTAGGCCTAAACTCCTATGTACACAACAGGCCCGCAATCATTTAGGCCCAACAAACATAATGCGGGCGTCACAGGATCCATCCCCTAACCCCCTCGCCCCCTTCCGGAAAAAATAACTCTCAATGAAGGTGTATCTTTTAATCGTTCAACCAAAACCAACCCTTCACTGCCACAATGGCCACAGTTTCCTCCTCATCCATTCCCTCTTCCCCAAACAAGAGGTGAAGGCTAAGAGTCTGAACTGAGTCACAATCAAAACCAGGTAGTAAAATGGTCTACCCAGAACCATGTAAAGAATTCAGAAGGAGGATATCCGCAGCTATTTCTGGCTGGGACTGCCCCTTACTAACCTTCATCTACCCGGGTTTTGATTGTGGCTCAGCTAGGGCAAGGAGGGCTTGCGGCAGCTGGGGGGCAGGAGATGCCCCGCGGGCCTCGAGGAAGATGTTCACATCCGCGAGGGAGCCCGTCCAGGTGGCAGTGACACCCCTTTGGACGGCTCCACCCAGGTAGAACCTCGCACCCCCACAAGCGACTCAGCGACACGGCACCTCTTGGAACCAGGGCGTCCACACAGCGAACCCCTGGCAAAAAAGGGGGGAGAAAAAGAAGAAAAAAAAACGCCTCCAGACGCCGTTGTCTGCGCCCGGAAGGGTTTTTGGGGGGCGCCGTAAGGCCCAGCCGACCTGCGGCAGGACCTTCCGCCTTCCGCCCGTATAGCTCACCCGATCTCTAAAATGAAATCGAGCTCAGCCCCGAGCTTGTTGCTGTCGTCCGCGTTCAGCGAGTCGATGTCCTAAAACTCGGGCGCATGGGTGGCTGCCATGACCCAAGGAAGCCAAAATGAACTCCAAATTGTCATACGGATGACCGTGGGGCAGAATGGGAAAGGAAGACCAGCACATTCGCGCCTTTCACGTAAGTTGGAAGCAGGTTTTAGGCTATTCGGCGGAAACCGACGGCAAGCCAACCAGTGGGGCTGCCTGAGAGAAGCTCGCTTCAGCTCGTTCCAGTTTTTTTTCTTTTCCGGCGGATCTGTACATCTATTTCACCCCCTGCACGGCAGAAAAGACACATCCCCTGTGATGCCCTTCAGGCCGTTGTTGTTGCGTAGCGGGGATTTTCCCTCACAGAAAATAAATGCCATTTGGCCGATGGCCCCCGGAGTTTTAGCTTATTGGCTTGCAGTGGTGGCTTGGTTTGGGAGGGGCTTCCCATTCACCATCTAGGCCTCGAAGCCCCCAAAGCCAACCAGGCTCCGAATCACCCTGACGGGTCACCTGCCGAAAAAAAAACAATGCGTCTCTTGAGAGCCCTGACAAGGCCCAAAACCAAACCCAGCGGATTTGTGGGGATGCACCCCACGAGTCTTGCTGAAGCCGGTTTGCTCAAAAGGACAAAATTCGCACGCAACGTACCGAGGCTTGGGGGCTTACCCCACCACGGGGTAAAGACGACAAAGCAAGCCACTACCTGGCAGAAGTATTCATTTGCCTCGGATGGGACCCAGAAATTAAAGGCCCAATGTCCTTTGAGCCCCGGACTCAGCATGAATCGCAAAAGGCCATCTCAGCGAAATGAGCTAACGTTGACCCCTTTTTTAATCAACCCACCAGTTTGTAGTTTTTGGCCCCGCCAAAAGCGGTCTGATTCCCCATTAAACCCAGAAATGGGCACCCCCCCAATTAATAAAACTTCCAACTAAACAACTGAACACTTTTCGTATTTCGGAAGCTTTCCGACTAAACTTCCTTTGAGTAACAAACTGGGGTTGGGTCAACATAAGTTCAAACTGGCTTTTAGGAACAAGCCAAGCTTCTCACTGCACATGATGCGAGAAATTGACCGCGAGGGGTTGGTTCATACTGCGGATGGACGAAATCCTGCACCACTTGGAAACCATGGTTGAAACCATGTTTCATTGGTATTTACCGGGGAATCGTATCATTCCATTAGGTTTCAAATGGATTTCGCAACCAGCCGCAGTAGTTCCAGTAGTGATTCCCGCTAAAGCCAGGAGAATACACCAAACCAGGAGGCATTCTTGCTTATCCTCGGCCTATCCTGAGCTTATCCCGCGATGGGTTGATTCATAGGGGGTCCACCTTCACGGAGCTTTGGACACCCGGCCAAAACGACGCCGCCCAAGGCTCAGTGCAGGTCTTGTCCAACGCGCCGTCGATGTAGATCTTCTGGGTCTTTGCCACGGAGTCATAGACGAAGGCCACGTGCTGCCTAAAGCGACCAAAGAAATAGGCGATTGGGACGCATGGTTCTCTGGGCTGTCCTCAGAACCCCCGCGAAAAGTTTACCTTTTCGTGGGTTAAATGGAAACCCCCACTAAACACTGAAAGGCTAAAAACCTAGGGGGATGACTGGGAACCAACAAGGGTTTTCTTTCGAATAAAACCCCTTGATTGTGCTGTAGGCAAAAAGGGGAAGCCATGGTAAAAGGCAACCCTTCCCAAAGAATTCCAAAAAAAAAGAGGGCACCACTGCTTGGTTGCTGTTGACTCCCCTGCAAAAAGTTGACCACTTTTGGGGGTTTAGTGGAAAACACCTTTATTTCAACCAAAAAGCTAAAGTCTAAAGATCCAACCCAGTAGCAGTCAGTCAAGCCTGGGCAACTCAGATTTTTATTAAACGGGTCCAGGCACGACCGTGAGGCGGCTTCTATGGATCGAGGCCAGGCAGCCACACGTTCTTGGTCAGCGACGTATCCGAGTGGCACTCGTGCAAGTAGTGGCCTGCGCGGGTTTTCGTTTGCTCGTCGGAATGGAGCTATCCCCCCTACCTTAAGGGGAGAGGGGGGTGGGGGGTCCTCAATTGCTTCGTTGAGGCCAAGCCAATGACCAGAAACTCCTCCTTCAAAGTTGCCCCCTCGGCCATGCCATCTGTCGGGGTGCCCCCCCCTTTTGGCCTGCCGTTCAGGGGGGCCAAGTGCAAGCCAATCTCGAGGCGGTTTCGAGGGCGGGCCAAGTAATCCTCTTGAGCAGCGCGGCACTTGCCCACCCTTCCACGCGTCCAGAGGTGCCGAGCCGCTGATATAATACCGGCCGCTCTTGAGGGACAAGTCCAAGCGCGTCCTGGCCACAAGGGCCATGGACACAAACACCTGCCGCCTCAAACTGGTTGACAAAAGAACCCCGCCATCCCGACAGAATGCCCGATGGGAGCTTTTCTGGCTGTTTGCTCCCCTCTGCTGATGCTTGCAGACTGAAAGCATCAGCAAATCAAGCCCGCCCCAAACCCCCCCCCTCCCCCATAACAACAACAACCCCCCCCCCCCGTAACAACAGCAACCCCGCCCCCACGCCCGTTTTGCGCTTCCGCATCCCACGACGCCTCGCAAACTGGGCCGTCGCAGTGGTGGTGGTGGTCATGGTGAGGGTGGCGGTGACCGTGGTGGCGGTGACTACCGTGGTGGTGATCCTGGTGAGACACGCCCTTGCCCCAGAGACCCTTGCGGTGCCTGAAGCATCTGATTTGTGCATTGATACACACAGATACACACACACACACACGTATGTGTATATATATATATATACATATACATATATACATATATACATATATACATATATACATATATACATATATACTTATATACATATATATATATATATGTGTGTGTGTATGTCTGTGTGTGTTTGTCTGTGTGCCAAACAAGTATCAACATCTATGGCACGAGGGTGCGGGTTTCCCAAGTCGTGCCGCCAAGGCATGTGGAACCCCTCTGCCCTGCTGATCCGATGGAATCAAAGAAATGGCCCGGCTGAACCATCCAACTGGTTCCATTTCAAAGGCATCCCGAACCCTTGATTCTCAAGACCCTTGCGATCCTGGAGAATCAAGGCGGCTGGTCAGCTAGATGCTCCCCTTTGACGGGAGCCAAAGGCTCAAATTCCTAATCCAATCCAAACCAGAATGCGGCTCTGGAGCCTTGGTTTGAAAGTCCCGCAGGCACGCAATGTTTCAGCGAATGCCCTGCATTCCCGGGCTCCGCGTCCCAGAAAAACCCCAAAACCCGGAAACGTGTTGGCCAAGGCGCGTGCTGGTCTTGGTGGAGGAGATGCTGGTGCTGGTCCAGGTGGTCCAGGTAGCTGTGACTGTGTAGGTGGTCAAAGTGGAGGTGGCAGTAGTGGACACCTGGGTCTTGGGCCCATGCTCCAATTATGCGTTCCCCAACCGCTTGCCCCCCCCCCCAGGTGTGGGAGGAAGCAGACAGGGTGTGGCTTAATGTGGCTTACATGTGGCAGTTGAAAGCCCGTTTGTTCAGCTTCCTGGTCACCCACCAAACAACCGACGGCACCGCCAGGCCCTCATCGAAGACAGAGCAACAGCTGCTGCTGCTGCTGCTGCTGCTGCTGCCGCTGCTGCGATTTGAAGCCGAGCTTGACACCAATCAAGGACTCCAGAGCAGGGGTGGGCTCAAAAATCGGGGTCAGAACCTGTGGTCCCCTGGCTCTTAAGTTTCGAGTCACACCCATATTGAGAGATGGCTCCATTTTCCAGGGATTGTCCCCTTGTGCGGATTCTTCTCAGTGTCATCTTCTGGGTTTGGCGGACTTCCTGAAGTGAACATGTATCCAAAGAGGGGAAGAATCCCAAAACTCTTCTCAAGACGCGGGCGGAATCCTGGCAAAGGTAGATGATGTATATATATATATATATAAAAACTAAAGCTCAAAGCAGAGCTTGGAAAGTGTGAAAGCTCGGTTCTGCACGAGTCACTTCTGTCTCAAGGCTCGCCAGTCAGGGCCCCGCGAGTCAGGGCCAAGGGGGTTTTAAGCAAGCCACGCGATCCAAGAAAAAAAGGCAGGATAGAACCCACGAACCCTCCTAGGCACATCACCACCTCTCACACGCTACAAAAAGAGCTGCCAGGTTCGCACGCGCACCACCGGGAACCCTGTCGCTACGCTCTCGGGCACACGAGCCGCGGCGCCGAAGTTCTGGTCTCCGTGGCGGTGACTGAAGTCACTGTCCTCGCGAACCCAGGGCCAAAGGAAATAAGGAGGGAGCAGGCGTCCTCTCAGTAAGACTTTCCAGCAACAAGAGACGGTTGAAGAATTGCAACGTTGGAACCATTTTGCTGGTGCGATAGGAAGAAGAATGACCAAGTCCGGGCTTGAATGAACCGGGTTTGCGGGCTTCCCGAATAAAGGCAACCACAGGATGGATGGTTTATAGGAGTCGTTCCATTTTGTTCTTCCCTGCTGAGAACCAGCAAGTTGCCAAGAAAACCAACCCGTTTGCAGGGGACAGCTATGTTTCAGAACCCTATGAGCGCCACAACCCCGAGCTGACTTTTGGTTCAAACATGGGCTGTGCTGCGCTTCCCCAATACGTTCCCTTCACACGCTGCACGCATGATTACCTGAAGTGAACCCCTGGTTCCCCCATTTGTAAATGATGGGTAGGCGTTCCCACAGCCATCGTACTTCACCAGTTGCCAATCAACCCCCCACACTCCAAGACAGAAGATGCGGTCAAGGTCCCCAGTTCCATTTACCAACGGAGGAGGGCGGACTGCCAAAGCTATTCCTCCCTTCCCCCCATTCCCTTAAGAGGGGGAGGGGCATGTCAACCCTTTCTGCACCCTTTGCTCCTTTGCTCCCACCGGCCCTTCCCCCGCCCAAACAAAAAACAAAACACACACACACACACAACAAAAACAAAAAGTAAAAGAGAAAAAAGAAAGCCCCCAACCCGTCGTGGTGGTTCCGGTGAGCGAGGTGGACGTCGCTGTCACGGAGGTGAACACGGAGGCGGAGACGCTGTTCGTGACCAGGGACACGATCCAATTCACACCCGAGCAGCTGGCTTGCAGGTCCGGGTCGAAGTTGGTGCACAAATACCTGCGACTTATCCCAGGAATCCAACGACTTAAGATCCCCCGGTGGCTCACTTTTGTTCAGCCGAATATGTCGTCAGAAATCGTGGACCCCACAACTTCTGTGTGCCCGCAAACGTGAATCTCGCCAAACCCCGGCCGAATTTGTTTTTCTCCCAATGGCTCTCTTCAAGGCTTCTCAACAGCACCCGGTGGCTCCCTGTCAGCGTCCCGGCTTCCCATCCCTCAAGAACCAAACCGCAAACCCAAACCACCCATCAAGGGCCGAATGAGGATTGAGAGAAAACAACATCCATGAAACAACTGAGGCCCTTAGGCGACTGACCTTCACCAACATAGTGGAACCCTGTGGTCCTGCAAAAACTACTGTAATTCCAAACCTGAAGAAGGAATTGGGGTCCCAAGTAAAGGACCAACATCGGAACCACTCGGTTGACGCCCTTTTTCTGCCAGCTCCTTACCAATTCGGCAGCTGTGGTTCTTTTCCAGCAGAGATAACCACTAGTTCAAACGAATATGTTTCAAACAAATGATTCCCTTGAAACCACCACTTCAAACACTAGTCTTCAAAAACAAAACCAATACAACAGACATGTTTTTTCCCAAAAAAAACAAACGAACAAATCAAGACCCACCACAAACCCCTTTGAAACCACCAGCTCAGCAAACAAACAAAACAAGACACAAACCCCCATGCTCGCTCCCTCCCCCTCCTTCCCCCCCCCTCCTCCTCCCCCCCTCCCTCCCTCCCTTCCCCCCCCTCCCCCCGCCCTCCCCCCCCTCCCCCAGCTGGGCCCCGCGGCTTGTCGGCGTCGGAGTTCTTCAGCGTCACCAGGCCCTCCGCGTCCGTGACGTAGGCCCAGAGCCCCGCGGAGCTGCCGGCGGTCTCCAGCACCAGGCTGGAGCCCGACACCGCCAGGTAGCCTCCCAGGGTGGGGCTGGGGGTGGGGGTGGGTGGGGGTGGGCGGGGGTGGGGGTGGGCGGGGGTGGGGGTGGGTGGGGGTGGGTGGGGGTGGGTGGGGGTGGGTGGGGGTGGGTGGGGGTGGGTAGGGGTGGATGGGGGCGGGTGGGGGCGAGGCGTTTCTTGGGGGATGCGGTTTTGAAAAAAGGAAAGAAGACAAAAAACGGTGTTGGGAATTCCACATGTTGGATTCCTGAAATGGATTCCAACTTCAAAATGAGGAGATTGAGGAGTATGTAAAACTGCTTGTTTTGTGGGGTGCACCACTAGGCGGCTCCACTAGCCGGTTGGGCATGTCAAATTGGATTCCTGACATAAAATTCCACCTCTAAAACCAGAGGCTTAAACATTTTACTCAAAATCTTGTAGTAAACTGTGGGGCGCTGGGATTGTTTTTGGGGACCGCCAGGCAGCGTGTGCCTCCTACATGGGACATACGGTTGAAGAATTGATGGATCCTGGAAAGAGTGAGAACATATATCCAGTAGTGAAATTGATTCCCTTTACAACCAACAGGGGAAAATAAAGGAATACTCTTAAGCAAATGAAAGTTTTGGGGGTGGACCCAGAAGGGTAGGCGTCCTTTGGGGATTTATGATGGTTTGTCTTTGAATTCTCTTAGATCCCCAACTGAAAACTGGTCCAGTGGCGCTTGACAAGCATAGGAGCTTTGGTGCGCATCATTTATATGGGGAGTTGTGTCAACAGGTTGTTGAGGAGGTTTTGTTTTTCCTTTAATTGGAGTACAGAGCCAATGTCGTAGATTTGTTGGTGACGAAACCCGCTTTTTGTCCTTCAGTGTGAAACTGTCGGTTGGAGATGGGTTTGGGTTGAAACCGGGAAGTGAGTCTCAGCTACGGCAACCAACAGACCGTAGACCATCGTGGCACGACGCAGTTGCTCCCTCTTTTGTTTACCCCTTCTCTCCAGGTCGGCAAGGTCTAGAACAAGATTGTGGAACGTCCCCTGACCCCTCTGCAAGTCTTCAACATGGTGTCCAATTCGGAAAATCCCGCCTGCTTCTTTCCCCACAAGATGGCCATAAAGAATCCCTTGACAGCATGCAGACTGATTGGGCTCCTTTTGGTTTCCCCTTACAAACCACCCCCAAAAAGAAAAAAGGGCAACCATCTCCATGAAACGTGTTCGGCCACCAAGCCATTTCATGTTGACCCAGGAGTAATAAACCCGTCCCAGTATTAGGGGGGGTTCTCTCCAAAGTGGTGAATCCCCCACTAAAAGGAATTGGACACCCCCCGATCAAAATCAACCAGGGGTTGATTAATTCGGGGTTAACATTGAAGGCCAAACCTATGGGGAAATCAAAGCCGCCAAGCCTTCTTAAACTGAGACCTTCGGCCAAGTAGCTGCTGGTGCCTACGTTCTTCAGCCGCACAGAGCCCGTGCTCACAAAGATCACCTTAGAACCGAATCCGAAACCCCTCATTGACTCATCCTCCCAAGCAAACCAAAGCTGACCTGTCCCCCATTTTTCCGACCGTCCCGCGCTTTTTTCCGGGACGGAAAGCATGGATGACATTTGGGATGAATCTACACCGAGGCACAAAGTTGCAAGGGGAAAAAAAGCTGGTCGAGATCTGTTTTGGACCAAACCCCTAAGCCCCCTTTCAAAACCAAAAGGTGACAGTTTGAGCAGTCCTAGGTGTTTTCGTCCGGGTTCTCAAACGGAGCCTGACCTCGACTCATTGGAACCCTCCAAATCCCGCCCCGATCCGCCGATCCGAACCCCACTCTTCAGCCTGAGAACTCAGAGCTGAAAAGAAAAAATCGGCACTGGAGGTCCGGGTCCAAGAACATACTTGCCGCTTCCTTGGAAGCTCTCGCCGTTGTAGGGTTTTAGGGCCAAAATCGTGTTTTCGGGTTGACCTTACTAAAACGGTGATGCTCATGGGTCTCCTTTTGGGAAAATAGAGAAATTTCCCTGGTAGATGGTGAAACCACCAGGTAAACCAGGGAAACCCATCTATTTTTCGACCAGAACAACCAAAAAGGACACCTATGGTACTTGCCCCTTACTAAACCTGGGCGTAAAGGGCGAATCGTTTGGGGTGACTTCAGCTGGAGCCAAATCAGGGAAACCACCCCCTACTCCAAATACCCGCTGTTTCCAGGGTATTTTTCGGAAAACCGAGCTGTTTTCCATGGTAATTACCTCCCTTTTTAGTGGGGGGTCGACCTGATGCACTGAAAAAAGGCCGGGTCTTTGGAGCACACTCCCTCAGACTAACAGCCGGAAGCTCCCCCCAATTGGCCTCTGCAAATGGAACCAAGTCTTCCGAAAGGGTCCGTTCAGGAGCTTCCATGTTGGTCTGGGGGAGGTTACGGGGGGATCTCTCAGGTCATCTCTCAGGTCCCTTCGCCCGACTCGACGACTTCACATGGCCGAAGCCGCCGTCCAGAGGTAGGCGTCGTTCTCCCGAAAGAGCTCCGTGCTCAGCTTCGGGGTGACGGTGTCCCAGTAGAGGTAGCCTCGCCATTCTAAGGGTTTTTGTGTATTGCACCCTGGGAATACACCCTCTGGGCATTGACCCCATTTAGGAAAACATGTCCGGATAAAACCCGTGTTATTTTGAACCATTCTGGGTCATTTCCCAAGGGTGTAATCCCAGGGTGTAATACAAAAACCCTCGGAGCCATGGGACGGCCTCATTGCATGCCCCACTGTGGGTGGACCAAATCCTGCACCTCATAATCCCTGGCATGATGATTCCCTGGTAAATACCAACAAGCGATGACCCGTGTATTCATGGCGGGGTGTTCCCCTGCAAAAGTCAAAAAACTCAAGGACACCCCGTACTAATATGGGTTGATTGATATGGGGTCAACATTATGAGAGTGCCTCTCCCCAAACATACCCGAACATGAACATCTCTAGCAAGAAGCCCAAATGGCTGGTGCTTTCTCATCTGGCTTCACGCAAAAACAAATGCCACAAGAAGTGGGCAGCCTCAAAGATAAGCAACCAAATGCAACCAAAAAGGTCGCCATGGATGTCAGACAGCGCATTCCCGAAACATTGTAGATAAACCACTCAAATTTCGTGAATTACTCGGGGCCAAGAAGAGCGCTTCCCCGTTGCTGTATCCAACTCTCCGAACTCTCCAAGAAACGAGGCGACATAAAGGTGGTTGTGGAGCTTGTGCTGGACTGTGACGTGGTTGTTACCGAAGTGGTGGTGGCCGTTGTGGTGTGGGAAGCAGTGGTGCTGCTCGTTATGGTGCTGGTTTTGGATGTAGTGGTGGTGCTCACCGTGGAGGTGCTCACCGTGGTGGTGCTCACTGTGGTGCTGCTTGTTACGGTGGTGCTCGCTGTGGTGGTGGTCACTGACGATGTGGTTGAAGTCACTGACGATGTGGTTGAAGTCACAGTTCTGCTGTCTGTGGATGTGGAAGAGGAGGTGGCTGTCAAGGATGTTGTAGAGTCCGTAGTGCTGGTCGTTGATGTCAACCTGCGCGCGAACTGAAAAAAACACGGAAATGCTCTATCCCCGTTCGGGTTCCTCTGGAAAAAATGAAACATTATTTTCACCATGTTGTGTGCCGCGGTGAAAAATCCTCATGTCCTGGCGATGTGCGTGGCTCCCTTACCTGCATCATGGTTGTCTAAGCTCTCTACTAGTTCGTGTCCATCCTTGATTGGTGGCTGCCCCACTGCGAAAAGCTTAATGCCGTGCTTGTCTTTTTATTGTTCTCTTTGTTTTGCTCCTGTTTTTCCTGTTTTTTGGGGAGGGGGGGTGCGGGGGGGTAGTGGGGCAACGCGAAATGTCCCAAAAAGCTAAAGATTGTAGATCCAACCCAATAGCCAAGGTTTCCAAGGGTCTTCTGACCAGGGGTCTCTGTTCGCGCCCAGCCACGAGTCGGTGGACGTAGATGAGACCGTGACAGTGGTGACAGTCGCCGTTACCGTGGTCGCCGTCTCGGTGGTCGACGTCGAGGTGGTCGACATCGAGGTGGTCACGGTGGTCACTGTCGCCGTCACGGTGGTCACTGTCGCCGTCACGGTGGTCACTGTCGTGCTGATCGATGTCGTGGCGCTCACTGTCGTGCTGGTCACTGTCGCAGTCGCGGTGGTCACTGTCGTCGTCGCGGTGGTCACTGTGGTCGTTTGAAGCGCCACGTAGGAGATGGTGGCGGTGCCGTGCATGGTTGCGCTGGTGTACCTGAGCCCCCTGCTTATAGGGGCCATCCCCTAAACCAAAGGTTGGTAAGGCTGGCAGGCGACAATAGGTCAACATGCTCAGATCGGTGAGCCCCTGGTGGTGTCGTCCCTTGCTTGATGTGAAATAAGATAAGCCCCCAAAAAATCCAGAAAAAATGACCCCTCAATTTTCTTGGGAAGATCAGTGAGTCCATTCCCCGACATCCCTCCCAAATGGTGGTACCTGATGCCTTCAGCTGGGAGGAAACCCCTACGTGGCCGCTTGGACACAAGGGTGAAGTGTTTGGCTGCCCAACCCCAACCAAGGAAACTGTTGCAAATCCCCCCCTACCATAAGGCGGAGGGGGGTGAGCCCCAATTCCATTGATCTAGTCTTCCCCAGAAAAGGGAAATGGAACAATCTCCAGGGGTCAGCCTCCCCCAATTCCATATTTAAAAGGGTGGGAAATAGCAGCAATAAGTGGACGAAGTTTGGCAAATCGGGCGCGCCATGGCTTGACCAATGGAAACAGCCAGGGTGAAACTCAGATTGCTTCTTATTCCCTGCACTCGAGCAAGGGGCAAGGGGGAACTTTGAAATCCAGATTTGGGTATTTGTTAAAAAAAAAAAAAAAAAAATCGGGGTTGTGGGGCGTGTTTAAGCCAAATAAGAAAATCCATGTGCAGACCTCCCCCAGTTGGTCGCTTAAACCATCCTTCCCGACGAGGAGCGATTGGTAGTCTGCACCTCGGCAGGCAGACTGAGGAGTCCTCCCGAGTCCCTCGCAGCGAAAAACTGAGCCGTTCAACCAACGTGGGGCTACCATATTGGGGCTGGGTTGAAAGCATAGGCGGCCTTTTGGAGAAATAGACGGCCCTGGTAAATGGAAATCCACACGTGAAGCCGGGGAAAGCGACAACCGCGTCTTGCAACGAGGTGAAGACACCGCATCGCTGGCTGCCGTCGGGCCCTTGACTACTTTTTGCTTTCTCAACCGCCACGTGCGGAAACATGGCTCGGCGAAGCCGAACTATGCTCCAGGTTTGACTTATTGCCGGTTAAAAGGATTTGAAATACGCGGGGAATCCAACAAGTCAAAGCCTAAAGATCCAATAGCAGTAGAGTTTGCCACATGCAGCCAGGGAGCAGGGCGGGTTCTCGCAGACCTGGAAGTCGTCGCCCTCCTCGGCTGCATGTGGCACACGAATGCTGAGCCATGCGCTCAAACCGGCCCAATGCCCCGAACGGTTCGGTCCATCAGCGCAGGACATGTCTTCCATTGGCTGAAACGAAGAATGTCTTACGTTTGATTTTGCTTTGCCCCGGTTGGTTTTGGAGGGAATCGGTTTCACTACTGGAAATATAGGTCCTCGTTCGGCTTTCTGAAGTAAATGGAAGAAATGGGTTCTTCTCCAAGCTCCACGGTCAACCCTTTCACTGAAGGCCCTCTCACTTAAGGAGGAGAGATGTGCGGAGAGGCTGATTGCGAGGAAGCTCTGACTCCCCCTTCTCCCCCCCCTTCCCCCCCTCCCCCCCCCCCTCCCCCCCCCCTTCCCCCCCCCCCCCTCCCTCCCCCCCTCCTGCAAAACAACAAACTTCCATTTGGTTAAGGCCCCAGGAAAAAATGGAAAAGATGAAATATGTTCAGTAGTGATGACTTCCTTTTAACACCAACAAGGGACAATTAAAACAAACATATTCTTCAGCAAATGGAGGCAAACAACGGGCGCCGAGACACGCAGCACATGGACACGGTGCCGCTGGCATGCAGCGCACTGCCATCGCAGCTGGCGCCCGAGCCGTCGTCTTTCTCCTAAACTGGGCGGCTCTCTGCTTCTGCACAAACCCGAAGACCCTTGTGTTGCTGGTGCGAGAGGTAGGGAATAAGAAATGGAATAACCCCCATAAACCATCCAACTGGTGATTTCCTTCAAGGGGACCCCTGGATTCGTTCCCTCATTCCCTACCTACCGCGCCAACAAGTCTTTCTCCTCACCCCAAAGGACCCACAAATACAAGGTGACTAAAATGAGATCCCAAAAAGGCTGAGAAAAAAACGTCTGGGTGCTTGGAAGGGATCCAAGAGGACTGGAGCTGCGGGTATCCGTAAATGTGTTTCCAAACAGGGGGCTAAGGAGTTACAAGGGATATTCAGTTTTGTGTTTGCCGCTATGGGCCGAAGCCACAAGAGAGCCGGGAAGTGGGCGAAAACCTGCTGAGACTTGACCCTCGCCAAAGGGGACAGGAAGGACACCCAAACATGGGCAAGAAGGCAATAAAGTGAGCAAAGTCTTGTAATGTTGACCCCGGATTAATAGACCTAGGGCGGTGTTCCCCCCAAAAGTGATGAATCCCAACTAAAAGGGGACACCCCCCGATCAAAATCAACCAGGGGTTCTACTTAGATCTGGGGTCAACATTATTGTGGAGATGCAAAATATGCCAGTTCTATCGGCCTGAACACAAGCTGGAACAAACATGTGTGCCCGATCTTCCGAAGCCGAAAAAAGAAGTTTAAGATCCAGCAGCAAGCAGACATGCAGAAGGGTTTCGAGAACGCTGGGCTTACCCAGCACCTCCAGATGAGTCCTGTGAGGCTCTTCTTGCAGGGATCCTTGATGGCGAGACTCAAAAGGACCACGGTGTTTGGGTTTTTGCCGGGAGTTCCGGACAATTTGGTCGAGGGGTCTCAAAGGTGTTCGACTCGGGTCCATCCATTTCTGTGGCAATGGAAGTAAGCAGGCGGGTCTCCTTGTTGGTCTTGCAGCAGTAGTCGCTGTTCACATAGAAGGCGTACTGGTACCTGAGCACTCACTCCAAAACCTGCGTCACCTGGGGAGCTGCATGTGGGGAGCTGCCGCTGCCGGGCTGCCAGGTCTTGACACTTGCAGATTTCGCACCGAAAGATCCCCCTACCTTAAGTGCAGGTTTCTTCATTCGGGCCCTCCGTGCCCAAAGAGACCAAAACAAGCCCGGCCTCCGGCCATTTGCCCCAAGCTGGGGCTTTGGCCGATTCAAAACCAAGTCCCTCATGTCCGCAGCGATATATGGTTGGGATTGTCCCTTACTAAGTTTCATCTACCCAGGTTTTGATTGTGCCTTCCACACGCTTTTTCGATGAGGTCTTCTCTTTTGCCCCAAACCGGCAAAAACATGCAAGCAAATTCAGCGCCCAAATTCTCCCCTCTAGAACTTCCTCGGCTGCCCAGGGGCGCCCCCATGGGCCAAAAAAAACGGCCATCCCTTTCTTGGTGGCTTGAGTTGCAAGGGGAACCCAACAAACCAGGGCTGTGGTTGGAATGGAATCCACTACTGTGATACAACAAGAAGGGCCTAACTCTAAAGACTAACCCCCATATAAAGGAAAGAGATTCCAACTTGTATCACAGAAGTGGGGATAAACCCCGAGTGATCCCACAACCCTGCATCAAACCCAAACGAAGTCGGACAGACAAAATTATCGGAATCCCCCCGGGATTGTCCATTTTGTTGGCGCCGGTGAAATACATCTTCCGCGGCTTCCTTCTCAGGCCCTGGCGAGTAGGGGCACATGCCCTGCGCCACTCGCAGGTAGCCTTGCTTGACGTTGGAAGGGGAGCCCAAAATTTGAATTTTAGCAGTTAAGTGGATTTGGATTTCAACCACTAAACCACAACAATGTAAACATGTAATTAAACAAAAGCAAACAATTCAACAAAAAATGTAAATTCCCCACTAAAACTAAACCACAACAAGCAAAAATGTAAAATTATAGGGGTACCTTCCCCATTCTTTCCAGGCATCCTTCTTGCTACAAAACCCTGGGGAAACAGCTGGTGTTTGAAAAGAACGATGGTTGAAGTTGAAAAGAATGGAAAAGGAATCAACCCCTAGACCATTTTTAGTGAGGCAACCACCCACAAAAAAAGAAAAAGAAAAATGATTGGTGCCACTGAACAACTGAGCCAAGGAATCAGGGTTCTAATGCAGAAGTCAAGTGGAAATTTTCCAATTTTCCACTAAAACTCAACCACCACAAGCCAAAACTCAGTCGCCCAGCGACCCCGGAAAACAAAGGGAACCCTTTTGGGGGGGCAACCACTGGCAACCACCCCCAAAAAAAGGGAAACAAACATCTAAAAAAACATGTTTCCCAACAATCAACCACGCCATGTCGCAGGTCTCCGTGGAGGACGTGGACACCGAGGCCACCGTCGCCAGCAGCTGGCAGTTGTCCGTCACCGAGCCGCCGGTGGCGGTGTAGACAAAGCCCTTGCACCTGGAACTTCCATGTGTGTTTTCTTGTTTTCTTGTGTTCTTTTCCTCTCTCTTTTTTCGCCTGTGAAAAAGAAAGTCTGGTTTAAAATACATATGTACAGTGATCGGTTCGCTTTGAAACCCCAGATGGGAATGCAGGCGATGCTCCCGGCGACTTTTTGGGACCTGTCCTAGTGAAGTTCCCGACGTGGGCATGGCGCCTGAAAGAGGATCCTTCGTTTCATGTTTGGAGAAGCACCGCCGGACTGCCGCCTGAGGATTCTTTTTGTTTTATGCTTGGACAAGCACGGCCCGAGAAGAAAGCGCGCAAGGAGCCGGCGACACTGGAGGTGCAAAAGCGGCAGCACCGCAACTGTTGACTTCGACATGCGCAAAATCAAATCAGCACCAAAACAACGCCTTGGCTCAGATTCCGTCGAGCGATTTTTCAAAAGGGCGCCGTAGAAGTGATGAAGCCAACCTCCGCTTTGCACATCCAAAGTCACTTTGTTCCCCCCCCAGGCCCCCCCGCTCGGCATCTGCCCTTCTCCCCCCCACGGCCGCACGCAAAGCCAGAACCCCTGCACAACCAGAGAAACCAGAAGCTGCTTGAAGTGGGTTGGAAGGCCCGTAAAACCAACAAAAAACCATGCAAGGAGTTTTTTTTCGGCCACCGACCAAACATTAGATTGGAGCCCAAACCAAGGGCAGGGCTGCGAGTCGAACTGTTGTTTAAAAAAAGTCACTGGCATGTCCTTACAGAACTCCGGCTCCTCTTTACCGCAGCCACCTAAAAATGGATCAAAGAAAGACCAATGGATCCATGAACGCAGACCCCTCATTCCCAAAAACCGCTACCACCAACGCCCATAGGTGATTTAAGGGAAATAGATGGATTTCCCTGGTAGATGAACAAAAAGACCGGGCAAACCAGGAATCGCCATCTATTTTTCTACCAAAACAACCAAAAAGGACACCTATGCCCTAGGCTGCAATTAGGACCCCAGCAAAAAATATATCTTTTTTGCCTGGTTAGTGGAAAACAAAGGGACCCAAAAAAAGCCAAAGAAAAGGGGAGCTAATTCTGGGAAAGTGCCAACGCCATCCTGCGCTGCGTGCCGAGTGGCGTGGAGCTACTGAAGCACGCCAGCTTGCATGCGTCCAGCGTGGCGGAGGTGAGGCCGGAGGAGGTGGGCGTGTCGCTGCAGGTGTACCTGCGCCACACACAGATGGACTCATAGGTTTCCCTACTTTTTGTTAGGGGGAAGGGTTTGGGGTTTAGGGTTTAGGGTTTAGTTCAGACGGGCTACCCTTGGTGGTTTGAGGGTGGAAGCATCTTGGGATGTCATCTGCCCATGGAAACTACCCCCTACTCCAAACACCCTCCTTTTTCTTGGGTTATGATGTCGACCCTCGACTAGAAAAGGAGGCATTTACCTTGAAAAAACCGGCTTTCCAAAAAATCCTGTGGATGGACACAATCCACTTCGCACCACTTTGAAACCATCTTTGAAACCATTGTCCGTGGTAAGGAGAATCATCATTCTAGGATTTTTTAGGTCATGCATACGTTTCCCGAGTTTCCATGTGCAACTCCGAAAACTGAAGTTCTTACTTAGGAAAGGCCCCTTGTGTATTGATCGAACACATCGTATGTGTCCAAAAAAAATGAAAAAAAATGGGGGGGGGGCTCCCAAAATTGCGGTTTTGGTTTCCCTTAAGGGTTCCCTCAAGATAAAGACCCCCACACCATGGAGCAAACTGTTTTTTAGCCAGGCCTTTCCAAACAGCTGCCCAAAAAGACAAGCACACGAGGGCTGTGTCGTCACACAAAGCTTGAAAATGAGCCCCTCATTTTGCGAGATTGAAAGGTTCCCATCCCGACATCTTAGTCATTTCCTGCCAACTTATGGCATTGTTTCTTGGCTTCCTTCGGATTCCTTGGGGGGGCTGGGGGGGAGTTTGGAGGGAGGGAAGGGGAAAGGGAGGCCCAAATAAGCCCTTAATAAGCCCTTGTTTAGGTTTTATTTGGGCTCCCTCCCACTCCCCTCCCTCCCCCAGCCCCCTTCAATTGATTGGTTTGTGAAAACCACTCGCCGCATTTCGGGGCGAGAACCTCCCGGATGGCCCCCTTCGACTGCGTCCGATCGCCGCGGCCGCGGCACCCGCTCAGCTCGTCGAAGGCCACGGAGGGGTAAGCCGTGACCGTGGTGGTGGTCGCCGTGATGGTGCCTCGGCGTCGGAAGTCCTGTTCGGGGGGATCCCCCCAAGGGGGAAAAAGGGGTGGGGGGTCCCCAATTCCAGTTATCTAGTCTTCCGACTTCTCCTTAAAGGAAATGGAACCATAAATGGAATTCTAGGGATCACCCCCCTCCCCCAATAACATATTTAAGGGGGTGGGGATTCGGGGGGTCTCTGAGCAGTCGGGCGGAAAAAAACAGCGACATGGCTCGGAGAAGAAGAAAAAAAAGGAGCAAAAACAACCAAGCATGGGCTCGACCTTTGGTCATGTAAAAGTAAAAGCAAAAACCAACCAAACATGTAGGCTGTGGGTCCAAAAATAGGTGCCCAAAACGGAAACCCTGGCAAATGGAACCAAAGCCTAAGACCTGCGGTTTTCCGGTGGCTTCCTTTTGACCCACACCCACTGTCTGAACCGTTCCATCCACTGCTTAAGAGTTGTCCTGTTGGTTGCCCTGGCGAAGGGGCCAACAAAAGGGGGCGAGAAACATCGCCGCGCAAATTGTTCCGGGGGAAAGCTAGGGGTGCTCGATTTGAAAGCTCCGAGGAGAAAAGAAAGAGAGAACCCCTCCCCAACAAAAAAAAATAAGGAAAGAACAGGAACGTTAAACTGAACAAAACACGCCTCTCCCCCCCCCCCTCTCTTTTCGGAGTTTCTCCGAAAACAATCCTGAAGCCGAACCTCCGCCCTCCGCCAAAAGCGTCCGCCCTCCGCGTCCAGCAACTCGCCTTCCTTCGGCCAAGGAGCTGGTGGACACGGTGGTGGTGGTCTGCGTCCGCGACTTGGTGGTGCTGGTGACCGTCGCCGTCACCGAGGTGGTGGTCACTGAGTGCCGCAAGTTCACCTCGGGCGTTTGCGCTTTTGCGCTTCGCGCACGAGGCTTCGCGCCGGTCCACTCAAAAATAGTCAGACAACTCGGAAAATCGCTGGTTTGGAGCCCGCTGGTTTGGGAGATTGAACAGGTTCTTGAGGTTTCATGGGGCATCAGCCTCCTGCTCCTCACGAAGCGAGAAGCTGGCCGAGTGGGTGGTCTATGCAAGCCTCGTGTGGGAGAATGCTTGTGTTGGAGACCCCCTTGGTCACAAGTACTCTTGGTCACCCCCGGGCTGGGTTCAATGGCTTCAACTGGGATCCCTGCTGATTTTCCTCGAACCTGCGGAAGTTTTGCCCTTTTGATCGAATTCAGCTAACTTCGGTTTGGGCTTTGACCCCCCCTTGTAAGAGGGTGCATGGGAACCATCGCCCAGAACACATGTCCAAACCGAAGGAAGCTGAAGGAAACCAGCCTTTTTCAAGGAATTGAACGCCGGGTTCTTGTGGAAGCTGCATGGGGGTTGCCCCTCCATTTCACCTCCGATTCGGCTCCACCCGTTTTGAGGGAAGCTGAGTGGACGGATAGAACGTTGCCACCAAGCCGACCAAGCTTTTTGGGGAACATATCCCAATCCAAACCCCCGGATTCGGCTCCCAGCCACAAGGTTTGGGGGGGCTGACCTGAAAGCGGGAAGACCGCCACCCAGCCAAAAAGCCGAAAAGACCCTCCCCCGACTCGAAACCGCACCCCGCCTCGAAACCGCTGAACTCGAAGGACCTGCGGTTTGCCGACGCGCGGCGGGGCTCGAGTTCTCTCGTCTGCAGTCTGCGGTTTGCGCGCGAAACCCCGCTCGAGCCGAGAGAGATCGACACGGAGAAAGCCATTTGCGCAGGTCGGACAAAGACAACGCCGGTGTTTTTCTTATTTTTTATCCGTCTTTTTTTTCCGCTGCATCACCCATCGGTCCACCTGCAGTTCAAACCATGGAAGTCAAAACAAAACTGGGGTTCCTTGAAGGCTTCCAAAGACAAACGCTGATCCAAATCCCGAATCAGCTGGTGGTTGCCGCTGCATTTTTTGCCACGGCTGGACAAGAGCAACAAGGGACCCGCGCCAAAGCAGAAACTGAGGGAGAAATCGAATGGCAAAAATACTTGGAATATGGGGTACGTCAACCCCACATTTCTTGTTTTTACTATAAATTACAGGGTTAAAACTATCTCTACATATTCAGGCCCTTTTAGTAAACCACCCCCAACCCGGGCTCATCACCGGGCTTTCGCTCCTCGTGGCGTGGCTGGCGCCGTCCGGGGCCCCGTCGAAGTCTAGGCCGCTGCCGCGGAGGTGGATCTCCAGCTTCATGGTCGTGGCCTTGGCGACTGTTTGTTCTCCCAACTTGATATTTACCACCAAAAATGGTCTTCCCAAGGTTTTAACTTGGTTGACCTTCGGTTTGGGGAGCAAACATTTTAGAATTTTAGAAGTTAGGTGGGGATTTGGATTTGGATTAATGTTTCCCAACGACAACCATGTTTTTGTTCTCTAGGTCCTCCAGTAGAGAGAATAGAACAAGGGCACCAACTTTTTTCTGTAGTCTGTGTTAGGAGGGGAACCCTCCCCCAAAAAAGAATCGGCAAAAGGGCACCAAGCTGAGGGACCTAGTTCTTCTCGGGGGAGATGGATCCAAGGCTTCGGTGGTGAGCATGGTGATGCCCCCGTCAAGCGGGATGGGGGGTGGGGTATATTCCGAAAGGTCCGGTTTGGATGGGGTGATGCCCCATCGAAGGCTTTGTGAAGATGGGGTGATGCCCCATCTTAAGGGAGGGGTTTCAAGTTTTTGCTGAACTCCATGAATCTGGCCTTCATAACCATGAAAGGGAAATGGAACCAATATGAGGTGACCAGTAGGGAGCCCACGAAGAAACACACAAGACTTTCCTCCTCCCACTCACCCATCCAAGCATACGAAACAAAGAAGAATACAAATAATACGAACACTACAAATAGCTTCAATGCACGTTGTTCGCCTAGCATTTGTTTTACCAGGCGGCGGCACTTTTTATTGTCTCCCTGCTTGATCAAACACTCAATCTGACTGAGGGGTCCTGGAAGACAATTTTGTCGTTCAACTGGGACCCTCAAATAGGTTCCATGTGGCCAGAGTATCTTCTTCCATGCTAGGCTGCCCCCCCCCCCCCTCCCCCCCCCTTCCCCCACTCCCCCCAAAATCCCCCCACTCCCCACTCCCCCCACTCCCAACGGACCAAAGACCCGGCCTTGATGGGCAACTCCCAACGGTAGTAGGACCCCACCTGCACCCAGTTCGCCGTAGCGCTCTGCACGGTGCCTGGACGCCGCGGAGACGTCGCCAGCGGCGTCAACTCGCAGAAAAAAAATATCGGCGCCCCCCTGGCAAGGCTCAAAGGCTTTGGGTGCACGGCCTTTCTTCGACTGAGGGCCGACCTTCACAAAATAAAAATAAAAAAAGCGGCTGCGCAAATGCCGGTCATTCGCGAATTCCGAGGTCAGAAGGTACACCCCTCTTAAGCACGGAGCCCCTCGCCTTCTTGCCGCTTCAAGCGGGGCGTGTCTTTGTCTCTTGGTTCCCTTGCGAGGCCGGCTTCCAAGAAGTTAAGGCACAAAAAAAAAAAAAAACACGCGCACTCTGGGCTTGGCTTTCCCTGAGACAACGCCCCTCTGGGATCCCCTGCCACCCCCCCCCCCCCCTCAGAGCCTGCCCCGGGCCCTAAGGCTCGAACCTGTGCTCCACGCGCTGGAGACGAAATCGGAGGTCCGCCAGTATGCCGTGTAGCTGTTGCCGCTGCTGGTCGTGTACAGCGTCACCTTGGCTTCGCGCCCATGATGTAAAAGGGGGGGGTGACCCTAAATGGGTAACTCTTTTTGTAGCGACTGGGATGCTGGAATCCGGTTAGGACTCTTTTTACCTGACTTTTTGCCTACTCAGATTCAACGTGCAGTCCCAACTATCAGTCGTAGATCAGGGCTTGCCATCGTATACAGAAACCACATGCCCCAACTACGCGGACAGAAACCCAACGTTGTCTCCCAGAAGGGCCAGCGCGGCCTTGCTCACCGGCCCGCTTGAGACCAGTGCGTCAGCATCGTCATTGCGAGCCCTGAAAGCTTGCTAACCATGTTGAAGCGGCTGTGGGTCAAAAACAGGTACCCAAAATGGAACCCTGGTAGATGAAACCAAGGACTAAAACCTGCGGTCCCTGGTGGTTTATTTTGAGCCATACCCAAATTTCAAGTCCAAACCGGGGCGGGGAAGCATGTTTCCGTGCAATGTGCAACAGCCTGGACTGCCGCGCCCTCATTTGCCAAATGCAGCTGTGGACCCCTGCATTACCAAGCACCTGCTGATCCCTTTTTGCCGCTGCTTTCTTTTCGGGCGGTATGTAACTGCATGTTGTAATATAAAGATTCATGTGGGACGTCGGGCTCTTTCTGCTGAAAGCCCTCTCTTGTTTGGGTTGAAAAGGGAAACCAACAGGAAACCACACATTTTGAACAAAGGTTGGGCCAAGGGGCTTCATATTACAGGGAAAGTGTATCCTGGGAGGCTGGGGCCCAGAGATGTGGATATCCTCTTTTGATACCCTACAATCATGACAGTGGACAGGGGCCTGCCCGCACAAAAGAGAAACCATCGAAGTGGACAGGAGCTGCCCCAACAGGAAGTAGTCTTCCCTCTTGTCGGCTTTCATGATTGGAGGGAGGGCAATTGGGAAGCCCGGACTCATGAACCTCATTTATTAGCATGGGGCCCGGTGTCCCTGGGAAAATGTGGTGGGAATCAGGCCACTGTTGGGGGGAGCACTGCAGCACCCCCCACCACCCCCTGATTTTGCGACGGGTTCCACTCAAATCCGGGGTCAACCACAACCTGGTAAGAAACCACAGCCCTTTCTTTTGAGTCAGCTTGGGGAAACCCGGACTCTGGAAGCTCTCAGTGGCACGTCCCATTTTCCTCACTTGATGCCTCCCACGGACCCGACCCACCTCCCCTTTCGGAGAGGTCTTTTGGGTGTGGTTTTTGGCTTTCGGCTTCAACGACTCACTGGCGTGGAATATTTACCACTCAAATGGTCTTCCCAACCAAGTTTTTACAGCTCATGAACTCAGGAAGTGAGTCCTTACGGCTCCCCTTTCGGAAGGGCTCCCCCCAAAATCGGCTTTTGGCTTCAACGACCTACCGCCTCCCGCATTTCAGGCCACCCGCCTGCAGCTGTTGACCCCTGCCGCGGCGCGGAGTGCACCTTCGCCGCCACCTGCTCGCCCTCCCACAGCAGATCCGGCTCCTGCACCTGTCACCGCCGCAGGTGGGTTTCCCTGGTAAATTGGAATGAACCCCAGCTAAACCAGGAACCGCCCTCGATTTGTTGAGCAAACCAAGCAAGAAGGACACCTATGGTCACCGCTCGGTTAAAAAACAAAAAGGAAAAAAAGAAGAAAAAGAAAGAATAGGGGGAGTGGGGGGTTCTGTGGCCATGGGAAAAGCTTCAGACGTACTGGGCCAGAGAAAAGAATGCGGGCAGAAAAAACCAACAACGAAGAACTGAAGGAAAGACATGAATGGGTCAGCTTCCCTCGAATTGGTGGTCAAAGTTTACCATTTACTCACAACCAGGGGTGCAAATCCCCAAACCACCAAACCAAACAGCCAATCCCGGGTAACCTGGGGGGGCATGGGCAAAAAACATCCGCGAAAAGCTGCAGAAGTATATACTGGGGGAAAAAAAGAAGAAACAACGGCACCACTGGTGTTCGGCTCGACTGGTTTACAAGTGTCAAAGTGCAAGTCTTTAAGTTTAAGCAGGACTTTCACTACAAACCACGGTGGATGGGCGAAACGTTGTGAATACTGAGGAAACTACCCACCGGTGCAGGATTTGACCATCCACAATAGTTTACATCAAGTTTACATCATTATCATAGTGACCAAACTTGTTTCTGAATTCCCCGCCCAGTTAAAATTACTCAGGCCCGTCCTGTAGAGGACATGCACATGCATATGGGTTTCCGTGGTCCTGCGGGCTCGTGCCCCACGACGGTCATGTTGGTCCCCTTGCATGTTGGTTCTATGTTGACGACCGTCCCGGCCAACCCCAACTACGATGTGGAACTTCCACTTTAGACGGGGGTGACAAAAGGGGGCGCCTAAAGCGCCTGTCCTTGTGGTTTCCCTTCTGAACCAAGCTGAGCACCCCAAACCCTGGTCGGTTCTACTAAGCTGGCCAGAATGGGTTTGCATGGGTCTTACTATAATCTCTATACTCCCTATAATCCCTCCACGAATTTTTGGACGCTTGCCTGAAATTTGGGCACCCTCAGAAAAGAAGGCATAGATAGCCAAGTTGCTTCTTTTTTCAGTCACTGTTGCTGGCTTTTGAGGTAAAGTGCAGAGAGAAAAAAAAAGAAACATCCAGGCAGGCGCACATGCTTCAACCCCCCCCCCCAGCCTTCACAGAGCTCGACATATCGCCGTCAAAGATCTTCCATAGGTCCGAGTCGGCGCCCGTGTAGTAGCTCAGGACCTGCATGTGCACCTGGGCCCAAGGGAACAGAACAGAGTGGGGAAAAGAGGCCAAGGTGAATTTAGGCTGGAATATGGCGTTCGGGCTAAAATCCGGGAGAGTTCAAAAAGATTTGTGGGTGTGAGGGAGAAAAAAAGAGGTTACTTTCACAACTAAACCAATAATGCACTCCCGACAGCCGTAATGAGGGAACACCTTCAGCAGGCAGTGGCAAATTGTGTGTTTCATGTTGCCTTGTAAATTTGAATTGACCATCCCAACAATGCCTTGAGCAATTGCAGCATGAATTCCTTACTTGGCAGATTCCGATTTCGACGAGTTTGTGGCGCCCGGAGGAGTAGCCCAGTGGGAGGAGGACCATCGTGGGAACCCCCGCCCCCTGGGACCCCACGGAAAAAAATAAAAAGAAGAAAAAACATGTGTATATATATATATAAATATAAATGACCCAGAAATGCATATATATATATATATATATATTTATTTATCTAAACAAATGCCAGTTTCATTGGCAGCGATCTGCGAGTAAAACTCGTGGATGTCTTCACCCGGCTCAGCAGTTCTCAGCCCCAATCAAGCGACCCCCAGCAGACCTGCAGGAAGCTTAAATGGTGGTGTTTCATTCATTCCTCTTTAAGCCGATCCGAAAAGAGTACCCTCAAATCAAAACACACTCAATATGTAAACATGTAAGTATATATAGAGAGAGAGAGAGATACATATACATACACATACATACATGTATATATATATATATATGTGTTTTTTGCACTCCTTTGGCCTCTGAAGAACCCTCCGGCTGTTTCAATTGACTTGGCGCCTCCGTCCCCGCGCTGTTCTGGTACTGGTAGTAGTCCACCTGGAAAATCTCTCAGCCGATTGGTGTGAGAGCAACTGGTTCGGGCGAGGTTCAGACCGGAAACGGGACCAAGGTGATCACCAGGGTATGGGTCAAAAATAAACGTCCAGGAATTGGACCGCAGGTTTTTAGTCCATGGTTCCATTTACCATGGTTCCACTATGAGTACCTATTTTTGACCAATAATTTGGACCTTGGCATGTCACCTGGACCAAGAAATGCGTTCAATGGGCAAATCAAAAGGTCAAAGGTTGGTTTTGGACAAAGAAAGGGAAAGCCAAAGGAAACGAAGGCTTCCTGTTCGTTGCAGAGATGAAACGATGATATTTCAACCGGCTGGCAGTAAGAAACAGAAAGGAACTGGTTGGGGTGCTTGGACTTGTCTCACGCACCCCCAAACTGGATGGTTTCCTGTTGGTTCCCTTCGAGACCAGCCAAGAGGGGATTGATTCCCCTTTTGAAAGCCGAACAAATGGAGCAGACCAACGAGAACAACATGAAACCAGCATGTTGTCCTATGTGGGTGTGATTTTTTAGTGGGCTCCGGAACCCATTGGTGCACATCATTTAGCTGGTGCCCGCCAATCAGCCGATCACTTGGTGCCTGGTGGTTCCACCTCTTAAAGCTCATAGACATTTCCACCACACGGCACACATCCCGCCTTCCGGCTTCCGGGATGGTAGACTGGGACCTATTTTGCCACCATCTTGTATCTCTCTCTCTCTCTGCCGTTGCGTCCAGAGGGTCTTAAGGGCAACACAAAGGACGTTTCAGGGTCTCGTTTCTTTTTTCGGAGGGCTCCGTGGCCGCAAAAAGGAAAAAACGGTCGCCGGCGTCTCCCGCCTTCTGCGTGCCGGAGGCGAACTCCGAGGGGGCATTGGCCCCCGTGCTCTTCACGAAGTCTGTGGGGTAGCTCACGAAATCCTCGGCTGCTTTAACCACCCCCCCTGCAAAAAGTTGACACCTTTTTGGGGTTTAGTGGGAAAACCCCTTGATTTCAACCGAAAAGTTGAAGTCTAGAGAGCCAACCCAGCAGTCAAGAATCGATGGACTGCGCCACGAAGTAGCTGCCCGAGATGAAGAACTCCCCGACGTTCCTCGTTCGCCGTTCTTCTGACCCGACAAAACTCGGTTGCGTTCTGCTCCCCTTGCCGAAAGTCTAAATTTTAGTGGTTTAATGGAAAACCCATTATATGGCAAAGAGTTAAAGATCTAGCATTCAAGCAACATGCACCAAAGAAAAAGAAGCTCCGGCGAAACCCACTCAGAGAGCCCGAGCACAGCTCCCGGCCTTGTTTTGGGATGCACCCGAAAAGACCCCTTTGCTCAGTCGCAACTGAACACTAGGTAACCAGCGATTTGCCTTGAAGGGCGGGATTTTTGGGTACCAACACCTCAAACACGCACACCCGGATGCTGATGTGAAGCTGATGTGCATTCAGCCCTCCCAGCATGGAAGCTGGCAGGGGGTCCTGCTCAAAAGCTACACCAAAGCAATTCAAAAAAAAGAAGTAACAGAACCCCCCCCAAAGAAGCAGACACCCCCCAAAGTTTAAAAAAAGAGAAGTAACCGACACCCCCGAGATGGGCTCCTTTTACTGGAGCTGTGGCCTTCTGGGACTTGTGAGAAGTTGCCACTGACAAGTGGGAGGCTGGCCGAAAACCGATGTTCGTTTGGCTCACTTCCTGAGTGGATTGGAAAACACATCTTCCGAGCTTTTGATCTACCACTAAAATGGTCCAAGCCCACAACGCTTAAAGTCCAGGAACTCAGGAAGTGAGTTATTGTGTGCAAGCTGTTCAAAATGGTTTGGGTTGGCCAATCCGATTTCATCCCGAGGGAAGCCACTGGAAAGGGGACCAAACCCTTGCGGAACCCCTTGGGCAAGGATTGAGGATTACCTTCGAACAGCCCAGGAAGAAACCATTCCATCAAAGTACGGACCAAGTCGTGGGTCTCCTTTCGGGCAAATAGAGAGCCCTGGCAAATGATTGGAACATATTGGAACCAAGCCGAAAACCAGCCCTCTATTATTCAACCAAACTGATCAAAAAGGACACCTACGGATCCAGTTGCCAACAAGCCCGGAACCAGTGAGCATGTAAGCCGGCGGGGCATTTGAATCAATCTGTGCCTTTCATCCCCTGCTACGTTGATTTTGAGGGAGGGTCAAACAAAGGGATCGCTTCTCGCTGCCTGGGCCGAGTGGGCCTGAGAACACCCCTTGCATAGACGCGACCTGCATCTCCCTCATCAACCAACGAGGCTTTTGCCTCAGTCCAGCCGTGTGTCCTTCCTTCTTGCAAAAAAAATGCCCCTGCCACATCGCACGCAAGAAAAAAAAAGAACAAGGATCTAACCCATGATGTCCAGCGGCTTGGTCTATCGCATGGTTGGCTATGGGCAAAATGGGTTCGAGCCCAGGCAGACTTTCTGCCCGGGCCCTAGGAAATGGGATCTCTCGCTGCTCTGGGGGCTTGCCCTCGAACCCTCCCCCAAAAAAGAAACCGGTAAAAGGGCACTACTGGACCTGGCCAATGGTTGCGCATTGGCTTACTTCCAAGATGGGATCTCTCCCTCTCTCCTCTTTCCCATTCCAACCACATCGGAATGGAAGCTCGGAAGGAAAAGCGCTCTCCGAGGCTCGCAGTGCTGGCATCCCCGTACTTGTTCGCGTAGAAGGTGAGGTCGCCGCTGTTGAAGCCCTCGAAACTTACTTTTCTAAGTCCATTGGAGAAGGGTACGGTGTGGTTAATGCATTCATCTTCTTTCTTTGGCGGGCCAAGGAAAAACCGGTTTTGCTAAGGAAAATGCAACGCCTGCATCTTCTTTCTTTGGCAGGCCCAGGCAAAACCCTGTTGTGCGAAGGAAAACACCTTGCAACCAAGGAGATGCCCGCAATCTGCCACTAAACTAATGGTGGCGGTTTGGCCCACATCTTGTTTTGAGGGGATCCTGTTGCAGGTGACATCCTCAAAGTCAGCCTAGCTAAATGGGTTGTTTTGAAGAGAAGCTACCAAAGTGGTTTCATGCCCCGCAACAGATTGGCTTGCATCATGGCAATGATAGGTCGGAATGAATTCAATTCGCCCATGTCAACAGGCACGCCCTTTAACTTCCCTTCTATCACTTTTCTTTTCCACTATGTTTCGGGATTCCGCGCTTCCCCCATAAAAGCGGGCTGTTTCCAGTTGAACTCCCGCCATGCGCATCTCGCAGATTGGGGGCACACGTGAGCCACTCCGATCAAAGCCGAGCTTCGAGCCGCGGAAAGCGAGCCGCTCGCGGTAGGTTTGATGCAGCTTGGCAGAAAATATTTCTTGGCTGCCCAAACCGATCCCCCGCTCAAAGTGACTCACTCTTCGTGGGTGAAATACGGAAACTACCACTCAACACTAAAAGGCTAGAAGGCTAAGGGGATGAGGGGATGGCTGGGAGCCACCAAGAATATTGAAACAACGTCATTATATTCAAAAAAGCAGTGGGGTTTGTATCACAGACATGGGTTGCCTGTGGTTTCCCCTTGCCAATGCCGGGCACCCTCCCTCCAACCGGGACCGGAAACCGACAACTGGAGGGTGTGGAAGACTACTTTCCTTGCCGGCAACCCTGTCCACTTGCCTGGTTGTTGGACACAGGGTATCCAAAACAACACACACACATTGGCAATGTCGCGAGAGCACAGTGCTAGCGCAAGACTGAGATCGGCACGGTGACTCATCCAACCCACTGACACAGCATCTTGGTAGGGGCCCCTTGGAACAAAATTCAGCAAAACGGGCCTTCCAGTCCATGCTAGTTGGAGGGTATCCCAAGTTGTTTGACTCATCCGCGCATGATTTGTCCGCCTCTGTCGCAAAGTCCACAGCAAAAAGGTCGGAGGCCTAGGAAAAGGCCCGAGAATGAATCTTCAGGAACATGAATAGCACTGGCTGCCATGGGCAGGTTCTCTTTGAGAAGGCTGCCGGGCAGGACGGCGCAGTCAGACAACTGCGCGGGGAAGATACCAACTCTGCAAACAGTCAGACAACTGCGCGGGGAAGATACCAACTCTGCAAAATGAATGCAGCGTTGTGGTCGCGCAGACGTCAGGGAAATAGATTGCTGGCCATCCTCACGACCGTCTAAGACTCAGGGGTTGTTGGCAATGTGCTCCAACGGCAGCAGGTTCGATGTTTCCTGAAAGGCTTTGCCGTCCCAACCGCTCACTGATTTCGTTGTTCCAACATCATCGAATTCAGGCGTTTGTTGGCAGCTGTGAGGATCGGAAGTGCACCCCCTGCCCCATGGTAAGCACACACGCTCGAGTGCACCCGCTCAACCCTGCGCGGACACGGTTATCACGCAAGCCCACCCGCTCAAAAGCACCCGCTCGGCACCGCACGTCGCCTGCAAAATGGTAAGCACGCCCGCTCAAGTGCACCCGCTCAGCACATACAGACACCCGTCACACGGCTCCCGCAGATTCCCGTGGGCTTTGACAATGGTAGGACCCACGGCCTTCGCGCGTGGTTGCTAATTACCTTTTTCTCTGTGGAGCACCCATTTGGGCACCCGTTGAGCAGCGCCCAAAACCTATCGACTTTTGGTTCCAGCAAGATGGTGGTAATGGTTCATGTGGGCGTTAGTGTAAGCTACCGTGGGACCAGGTAGCAGAACCACTTGCTAAACCCCGGCTCTCTTGGGTTTTGGGCGCACAGCTTGCCGTCCTTCGCGTAATCGCCCTTTGGCGCGGCCGCCGCCTTTGCATGCGATCCCAGCTGTGCCCTGAGCATGGTAAGCACCGCTGCGAAGATCAACAGGGCGCCCAAAATGGTCACCAGCTTCGCATGCCCCCGCAGAAAATAGTCCAGGCAAAAACCGGCCAGCATGTTCCTCGGCTTGAGAACAAGCAGAGCTTCTCTTGCAGGGGTGGTCGCAAACGAGCCCTTCTCGCGCCCCACGGAGCTTTTAAAAAAGATGCATTTGGACCTTGCTGCGCAACTGAGCCATGGCCATTTTGGCAGCTGCAATAAACCTGGTGGACCCCTGTCACCATCCCAAGAAAAGGGAGCTGGACCTGCAAAATGTCACGCTCAGTCAGCTGGAACTGATTGAGTGACTGCCATCCACCTCTTTCTGATTTTTTTGCCCGAGATTCGTCGCAGTGGTCACGGTGGTGTTAACAGCAGGGGGGCACTTCTGAGACGCAATAGCACCACAAGTAGTGTCACCAAGCAGCAGCACCGGAAGACTAAGCAAAAGCCTTACAATGACCCTCCGATCATCCAGGTCCGCCATTTCTGGGACCCGCACCCACGACCGACGTGGCCTTCAGAATGAGTTTAAGCAAAACCTATTCTGCATTTCCAAGAGTTCACCGATCAACACAGCCCAAATTTCCAAACGGTGCGGTTTCATCTTGCTCCATTTGGGGAGCAGTGCAAGAAACCCCTTATCTGATTAGGATTACAAGACTCGTAGCTGCCCCTGGGTACCCTCAAGAGCGAACAACGCGGACCTCGGGAGCCTCGGCAGGAGAAGAAAAAAAAAAAAAAGAAGAAAAAAAACGTTGACAAGCCTGGAGACGCCACGCTTTGAGGGCGCGCACTTTCCATGGATTGAAAGCTTCCACTGGGTACCCCTTCGATGAAGTGCAGCATCCAGCTAAAGATCCACATGTGGAGCCTGGCAGGCTGCGGGCCCTTGCAGATTCGCAAAGGCTGGATCGATCCCGCGGAGCCGAGCTTCGTTTCTCATGGGGATGCTGTTACAACATGCTGCGCTTCTCAGATACTCCGCGGAACCATAAAAAGGCCGCCATTCCCATGGTAGGCCATAACATGTCTAGATGATTGGAAACTAGTCATGCCTTCAGCTTAAGAACTACTGCCCATTTGCACGAATCCTGGACCCGGGGAGGGAGCACAAAGACCCTTTGAGGATCTTTGCCATGAAGTTGGCCTCGAGAATGACCATGGAATGCAGCGACAACTTGCAAATCTACTAGAACAATCTGATGGGTGCGATTCACGAGGGCTCCACCTTGAAAAGCGATCCGCACATTCAGGGCTTTCAAGCTTCAGTGCCAAACATGGGCATGGTCAATTGGGAAAGATTCATCCAGCTCGCCCCCCCCCCCTTTCCCCGATCCCCCGCAATGGATCGGGGAGAAGAAAAAAAACAAACGGCGCCCTTCTGCGCGGTTCAATGCAACCGGCACAAGCTACCATGCTCAGCTGGTTTTCCAAAGACCCTTCTGCGCACTTTCGGAAGAAGAGGGGCCAAACGTCCTTTCCCCAGCCAGGCGCATGCATGCATGCCATGTTCCAGGCGAAATCCCAAATACCCCCGCGTCCCGAAAAATAAAACGGGCCGCAAAATGCGCAACGAGGAGCAAGGTGGAGGTGCTCACAATGGAAGGATTCACCTCCTTGAGCTTGCGCCCGAAAAGGGCGGAACCACCGCTGCAGATGCCGCTGCTGAGAGCCAGGCCACTGCCAAACCTAGCTACGAGTGCGGGAGGAGAACCTCCAAACGCCCCATCTCAATGGATTGGCAGGGGCTAACGAAGTCCCCAATCCAGAAAACGAAGAAGAGGTGCAGGCGGTAGACCCTTTTCCTGCTCAGCGTAGCCATCGGTCGGTGCCGTCAAACGGCAGATACCCACCCTATGTGGGATGAGAGGGGATTCGGGCCATCACGGCCACACATGATATGGATGTACAGGTTTCACATGCCATGAAATGCCGGTTGCGTGGCACGCAACTCACACGGGGAAGAAAGCCTTCACTCAGCCGGTCGGCTGAGGCACACAGGTCCTGCACGCACGGCGGACCTCTACATTCACACCACGGAGGTGTCGGCACCCACGGTTCACATGCCAAACACTGCCGTAGCGGGAGAGCACAATGGGGCCTGTGGGCTGCACTTCGCGTTGTTGTAGCTCACGGAGTAGCGTCTGCATCCGAAAGTTCTGACCCATGAGGTGCTCGTTGCTGCTGTTGGCTTCTTCCAAGTTCATTTCCAGGGTGGTGATCACGGGATCCATGGGCATGGGATCGGTTTGCACGACCGCATCGGTCACGGCCGTATGGTTTCGGCCGGAGCAAGAACAGCTCAGTGCATTCCGAACCACACACCATCCGAACATCAGGAGGAGGGTGATCACGGCATAGTCCATGACCTCAGCGTAGGGCTCGACAAACGTGCCCTCGGGTTCCACAAGCGTGTTCTTCTGGTTGTCCACGTAGGTGGCTTGGCAGAAAGAGACCATAACATCGCCCTGCGCGAGTGGTTTGGGAATAGCTCCCTCCTGCATGTTTTGTTGACGTTCGGCCTTGCTCTTGCGCTTGGCAGCGGTGAAGCTGGGGTCCCACGAAAGCTTCAGCTGGTGTGATCTCAAACGGTCTGCAAGAAGTTGCCGGGTGGACAGTTTGGTCTGGCCGTCGGCATACTGCAACTCACTGCTCATCCACCTGAGGTGTCCGCCGAACGATTGCAGCCTTTCCTTCATGACCATGATCTCCAAACCTGTGCGGCGATCTGTGTTGCCGCCCAACTGCTCGCGCTGGTAGCTGTCATATAGGGCCTTGGCGTCGGTGATCAGAGTTGGTTTGAGCATGCTGCGAACTTCCAAGAGGTCACGGAGCTTCACGTTGGGGTTGAAAATGTGCTCCCAGGCGCGAACAACCATTTCCATGCTGTCCACGGCTTGACCAGCCGC